AGGGCACGGCCCAGCCCCTCATCATGGCAATTGGAAGAGACAAAGATCATATCTTCCAGGGCATCATTTTGAATTGTCCGAAAAACCACCCTTTGCTCCTCCGAGCCATCAAGCACTGCATGCAGACAACCTCGCAAGAGTTGACTGGAACGGGGTACATGCGGTTCTGTAAGCACCTGTTTGCTTTGCTCACAGAGGACCTGGGCAGGGAACCCCAACCCGGTTGGAGTCAGTGCAGTCAGTATGGACCCATCTACTTGATGCACGAGACCAAGGAGAGAAAAATGAACAATTTTGCAGACTCAGCAGGCAACCGGTTTCATGTTGATGGCCACATGATGTATGCTGGGACCACTTTGTTTGCTGCCACCAGGGCATGGAAGTGGCAGCATGGCTTCAAGAGTTCCGACCTCCAGGTGCAGGTGATCAATGCTGCTGCTGAGGCTGCACAATTGGATCAGGGCACGGCCCAGTCCATTGCAGCCAAGCTCGATGAGAGCACGGGCCAGAGCAGTTCTCCAGCAGCCGTATCTACGGGAGCTGCCGAGGTAATGCCTTTGGATACTGAGTTGCCAACAGCGGATGAGTGCACCGGATTGATTCAGCTTCTCGAAAGCTCAAGCTGGTACCAAGGTCTGGGCACCCGAGAGATCATGCAGCTCTTTGTGCTTGGTCTCCGTGAGCACCCAACAAGCCAGGGATGGGTGGGTTGCAAACATTGCAAGAACGCTAGCCGAAAACCGATTCATTTCTCAAACGTGGAAAGTCTGCGCAAGCATTTTGAAGAGAAACACCTGCAGGAGCCAGCTACTGCGAGCCATGAAGAGGAACAGCATACACGGCCAACTGCGAACAACGATGAAGCAGTGGGCAATGAGTTGCGTGGCGTTTGGGCCGACGCAGAACCTGACTGGGCCAAAGCTGATATCAAAGATCGGCTAGCCGCAGCAAGCAAGCCTGCGCCAGCAGTTCCGATGGCTGATTTGCTTTTGAGTGAGCTTCGGCAAGCCGAAGGACATGTTGGCCGCTTCATTCAAAGAGTTGTCCAGGTATTGCAAGCTCGCGATGCTGGGCACGGCCAAGCATTACAGACCGCCTTCCAGCAGCTGGGCATTGTCCCTGACATTCTGTGCCCATCATTTTGGCGCACAAAGACCAAGAAGCACCTGACTTGGTCGGGCTTGACCCAAGTAGAAGTGTTAGGGGACGGGAAAATCAAGCTGTGGTCTTGGGATTCAGAACGCTGGGCTTGGGTTGAGGCAACTGTTCAGGATACAGCCATCACAGGCGCTATGATGAGTCTCTTCATTGATGGCATGACGGAAGTGGCAGAGAACTGCTCATTGGATCTGCCCAAAAGACAAGCAGCAAGCCTTAGCACTGCCGTTCTCTTCAACGAAGCTTGCCTAAAGCATTCCCAACAGCAACGGCTTTTGGTGCAAAAGGATGGCTTCAGCCTCAAATATGAGCATACTCCTGGAAGAGCCGACTTCAAGTACACCTCACGTAAGAGGAATCTCACCAACACTCAGGCCCAGACCAACATGCTCCAGGGTCGGCGCAAACGCGAGGAATATGCTGATTAGGGCGAGGAATCTGCTCATATGCCAGCTTAGGAAATTATGTGGTGATTTTTCCTATCTGCGATGCGTATGTTTGTTTTGTTTAACAATCAGGTCGCAGTTGATCGAGCATACAGTTGAAGCAGGGTTCACATCATAGGCTGATGATCCATGAGAGCTGGGACCCACTTCTACTAGTTGTGAGCAGATGCCGGGCACGTCCCATCTCAAAGCAGATGCAGGGCGCGGCCAACTCTTCAAAAAGGTGCACACGAGAATGATATGAGACCCAAAAATTACAGCCCCTTTTCGTCGGCACCATTCCGACTTTATTTGTCGGGTCGTTTTATTTTTCTTGTCTGGGCCGGAGATTACGAAAAATTTGTCGGCCCTACAACCCCGCCTCGTCGTTTGCTCTTTGTTTGACTCTGAAGCACCTTGAGCTTGAGCTCCTGCTCCAGGTTTCCAATTACCTCCGCTCAGAGTATGCTGCAGCGCAGGAAACTTTCAACGAGCTGTGTGGACCTCATCAGCTGCCTAGCATCAAGTTGTCATATCCTAGGACATCAAGTGACTTTTTCTAGACATCAAGTGAGATCAAACTCTGGGAACCTGGGAAATCATGTTCCATAGAGGCGGACACACCTGCGAGCTTCGAGAACCGCCTCTCCATTGACTTCACCAGTAACAAGGCCGGTGACACTGGCGAATTTCCCTTCAACGAATGACCAGCAGTATGTCTGAATTCTGTGCTTGTCACTGTTGAAAGAACAGAATTGCTTTTAGGCAAGGCTCAATCGCTTATCCTTCATGACAGGTTCTGCCCATGAAGCTATCGGGTGTTGGATCTGTTGAGCAAAGCATTATCTTCCGCAGCAGCCAGGGACTTAATATGACTTGATGTGCTCTTTTTCTTCGCAAGAGGGTTGGTGTTGCGACTCTCTTTGTCTTTGCTCGTCCTTTTTGATCTTTTGTTGTGCCTGTACACTGTCATCCCTGGAGCACCAGGTTTCTACTCAATGCTCTACACTTGTGGCCCTTGTCCAAAAGTCCACCCACCAACCACCACACCACCACCACCACCATCATCCTCGTCCTCATCGTCATCCTCACCCTCATCGTCATCGTCATTGACGTCATCGTTGTCATCATTGTCGTCGCCACATCATCATCGTCCTCATCGTTTTCCACCACCACCACCGCCGCCACCATCACCATCACCGCCACCATCCCATCACCACCACCACCACCGCCACCACCACCACCACCAGCATCATCATCATCATCATCATCATCAAAATCATCATCATCATCAGCATCATTTTATTCGTTTCACGTGTTTTTCACGGTGATGTCCACCTTTCCCTCAGGTGGAGAGGCTTCGTTGCAGGCCGCTGATTCCATTCTGCTGGCATTTGGTGCTGGACAAGCAGTGCCCAATTTGCAAGACAGCAATTGACATCATGGTTTGATGCCCAGAAACTCAAGAAGGTAATAGTATGGAAGATTTTTGAAGTTACGTTGAAGAATAAACATAATAATGACAATACATATATATATTTATATAATGATATATATGTATATATAATCATATATGTGTATATGAAGCATTAGATGCCACATATATAATTGATATTGATATGGATGGATGTGTTGCATTGTTTCCCAGGAACAGGTGGAGCGTGATGGAGCACAATCCCGGGTCGGGCTTCCATCACTCTGTCGTAGCGTCTGAGCAAGCCTTGGCAGCCATTAGTATATAATATTAGTTATCCATGTAACTTATCCCCATGGATCCCATGATATACCATGATATACCATGATATACCCATGATATACCCATGATACCAATTATCCGATTACCCCCATGGATCCTATGAGATCCCTTTGGAATCTGGTCATTCCAAAGCTGACGCTTCCTATCGCGGTTGTACAAAGCTAAGCCTACGCTGCAGCCAGGTGGAGATCCTAGCTTGAGCTGAAGCTGAAGCTCAATGGATTGGTTTGGGAAAGACATACATGGATAAATGGATAGTGGGGATCACATATCCCTCATCTCGTGTGTATATCTTGTTCTTCTAAACATCAGCTGTGGAAATTGTCATTATGAATAAATATCAACTGAGCAAGCAATGTCAAAGATAGTGCGAATCTCAAGGCCTATAGGAGGGTTGACTCGTGTTGAGGTTCTTCACAGACATCACAAGGGACACCACAAGCACAAGCACAGAGGACACGGACCGAGTCTGCGGTGCTTGTGCTTGTGGTGTCCCTTGTGATGTCTGCCTGTGGTGCTAGCACTGGCAACTCCAGCAGCAGTGGTCGGTGGTCAGGTCTTCAGGGGTTTGACCGGTGTGGTAAGATAAAGTAACCATACAACCATGTGACCTGGTTTCCAAACAAAACCTGATGGTGCCTAGTTTCCAAAACTTCCATGACCTGGACAGCGTTGCTGCAAGGTTTCGTACTATGATTCTGAACTGCGAAGTGGCTGGAAATTCGCCCGCTCACAGCCACGAGAATTCAGTCTTTTCCACCAATGAATCAGACCAAAAAAACATGATTACAAAAAACTATATACTTGCACATGGTGATACAGGAGAAAGAGGTAACAACTTGGCAAGGACTCAACCATTCCAGTTATTTGCGACCAGGTGTGCTTCTTCAAAACCATGTTTCACCTTTTCAATGATAAGTCATTGGTGGATAGGTTGAAGGAAATGATTCAGTTGGCAAAATCGCCTCCGCCCTCAGTACTCACGGAGGAATGGGGTATCCGGCTAGCCAAAAAGTGCCAAAGCATCAAGAAGAAATGCTTCTGGAATGGTTTTGCTCAGGCTCTTGTGGATAGTGACTGTTTTTTGGCATAAGTGATAATTTTGCAGACCTGCGCCTCTGCAATTGCCTGTAAGACATTAGACGGAACCGATTGCTGTGGTCATTGACTCATCATCATGATAATCATGATAATCATGAAAATAATAATCATCATCATCAAACCCGCACAAACCAGCGCGAACCCGGGCGAAACCGCACGAACCCGGGCGAACGCGCGCAAACCCGCACAAACCCGCGCAAACCCGCGCGAACCCGCGCGAACCCGCGCAAACCCGCGCAAATCCGCGCGAACCAACGACCCGCGCGAACCCGCGCAAACCCGCGCAAACCCGCGCGAACCCGCGCAGTCAAATTCGGACACGATCCCCGCTACACTGCCGTATATATTCCCCTCGCCAATGTAATGCAGAACACGATCATCAGGCAGTGGATTTGGGGGTATCTGCGTTCAGACAAACCAATGTCGCAAACCCCTGATTTCACCTAATTGAATTTCACGCTTTAGGGGCTTACCGTAAGATTTGTATATCAACCAATGATAGCGTGTGGCTTTTAAACCTTTGTTTGTCACATAACTCGTTGAAGATTGGTTGTGTGCTCATGGGCCCATTGGTGGCACCATTCGCTGTTTTGTTAGGCCAGTGGTCGCAGAAAGCCATCAAGCGCCTCTTTGACGGTCGCTGGGCAAAATCCAAAACAATGTCAACTGGATGAATTGGAAGATCCATGGGCAAATGTGTTCCGAATAGAATATGAATGAACATGACTTTGTTTTGCTCATGGATATTGGGACTTATTGGGGTTAGCCAAAGAGTTTGCTTTTGAGATGGCTCTACCCTGGAATGTTCCTTGTGTTCTCCTTGTCCGTTGCAGTGCGGAGAAGAGCATCAGTATTGCTTGCTGGTTTTTGGGAGTGCCCCAGTGGTCCACAAAACCATGACATCGTGTGAGCATCCTAAACACAGATAGACATTAAAGTCATTGAGCAGTGAGAGAGAAAGCGTGTGCATGTAAATAGTTTTGAATATCATTAACTATCGTTAAATATGGAGAGAGAGAGAGAGGGAGAGAGAGAGAGAGAGAGATCAGTCCAATAATGTTGGAAATCAAGGACTTCAGATTTAGATCATATTTTCTGGTAGAGCATCCCACTCTGAACCCTTTACGACTTGACGCTTTTCATTGGTCAGGGATGGACTTGGATGAGGATGGCAAGATCTGTTTCTCCGAGTTCATCGACCCTCAGCGACAGCAGCGCTGGTAAACTTGTGGCTGGTTTCCATTGGGTACCACATTGGGGCTATGATAGTCGATCATATCATGGTTTACAGTGGTTTACTACTACGGTTTAAGATTTTAGAATAATTAGTGGGATTATAATAATATTATAATGGTTTACTGTGGCTTTACTACCCATGTACCAAAAATACTGGTATGGGCAGCATTTGGCAGCAAGAGATAGCACGGTGTACCGACGATGATCCGAGCCTCAGGAGTGGATCTTCGATAGCGGTGCCTTTGCGAAAACGAAAACGCGGCCATGGGACCATCGGATGGGGAAATGAACCTTGATAATCAGCAACTAATTGAATGTTATCCTAGTTCAGGGTATAGTATTCGCATGGTATAGTATTAGCATAGTATGCTATATTATACCTAGCAACATTGATAATCAGCAACTATAGTTCGGGGTGAATTGAACTAGAGATAACTATAGCATACTATAGTTACTATAGCCATAAAAGTCGTGGGCACCGCTGGTGCATACGACCTGAGGCACCAATTCCTTCAAAGGAGCTTTGGAGATCGCGGAAACCACTGATGGGGCCAAAACTCTTGAGTGGTCTGTAGTCGCTGGGCTGCAGCTGAAAGCCTGATTCACCAGCCCCACCATGTCCTCCCGGCGGCCCTACGGCTAAGTGTATAGGCTGATTGCTCGGAGCCCATCGTGTTGCCCAACCTTCGCTCGGAGTTGGCCGTCATTGAGGGCTGCAACATGGAGGCAGCTGTTGTGCAGAAACGATAGAAATAGAAATGGGCAAAACCCTGTGGTTGATGGTTTGATGACATTAGATAAGTACATTATTGCTAGCTGGTTCATTGGAGGCTTTTGGGGGTATTGTTGGGTATGGATGGATTGATTTACACGAAGTCTTCCGAAGTGGGAATCCCGGCTCCACAGGGTGGGACTTGACAGAAGGTGTCGGACCGTGCTCATTTGAGGAAACTGGGGTGAAAGTGGCCAAATTATTATTCTCAGATATTCTCAGTATATATATATATATGTTCCCGGTTCCCGGTTCGGCAGCACCCCCCGCTCCCCCCAGTTGACGGTACCCCGGTCCTTTCCCCAAAAAAATATCCCATTTGCATACTATTTGCAGCATTTCAGAGCCACAACCTTCCACTTGCAACCTATTTGCAGCATTTAAGAGCCGCATACTTCCTGCAAAATACATCAGTACTACTTATGTACTACCTACATGCTTTCTACATATTACCTATATAAACATATATTACCTATATACATATGTTCATATGCATTTCGTTTCCACTTATATATGACCAATAGCGTATCTATACGCAACCCATACCCTACTTTATATATATATAATATACATATACATATATATAATATATATATATATTATTGCTTCATGATACTTCATGCCAGTATGCAACCTGTAGATAGATATGTATGTGTATATATGTATATATATATAATTATATACATCCATATGCGTCCATGTGCTGCCTTTGTCCTACTCTTCTACGACTGACAAGCCGCATCAACCCCCCAATCCCCCCCACAAGGGGGAGGGGGCAACAACATAGACGACCTAGATACCTCATACTGACGATAAATACATACATGTATATGTGCATATAATGTGCATGTATGCATAGAACCTACATGTTGTATATACTTGCTACCTATAATACTGTATACTCCACATATTTACTACCTATACACTGCCTATTACTACCTACACAACACGGTTACACATAGATAAACACGGTTACAAATAGATAGACTACCTATGCACTACTGTACATACACATGTACTACCATATAGCACGTATTTACCATTTGTTTGGATGCAGCAGCTATCATATATTCCCCATACAGCATTTGCAACCCCTTCCCACCCCAACCCACGCCCACCCCAACCCGCTCCCACCCCAACCCACATCCACCGGGGGGTTAGGGGTTAGGGGATACCACGACCATGGGTGGGAAGGGAGGAGGGGACCCAGAACCTGGAACATATCTAGCCAGTAATCAATCAATCAATATATATATATATATATGCAATTACACACACATATACTGGTTGGCGGTTTAGAACATGTTTTTATTTTTCCATATATTGGGAATAATGATCCCAACTGACTAATATTTTTCAGAGGGGTTGAAACCACCAACCAGTATATATATATATATGTGATAAGTATAGCCAGCAAACGCATTGTTTTGGGTCCTACGATGCCTTTGAGGAGGGTGCCTCCGGCCACTGCAAAATTCACCCGTGCCCAGATCAGACAATGGACAATTGATGTTTAGTTTCAATGATTCAACTGGACATATGATATGGTTTAACTACCTATTGGCAGCCATGACATGAAGATATTACCTCCCATTTCCCAGTCTCGAAGTCAAGGGTCATCAAATCACATGTCATTTTTGAGTCACTCATCCAGTAATTGGCTGATAGCGGTCCCATGAACCTCAACTGCCTCAGCCAACCCAACCAATTCTTATGGGGGATGGAAGTGTGATGAATTTTGAGGTATAGCCTGTATAGCCATGAAGACTCTCTCCATGCGTCCGTTTAATTTGTGGTGTCATGAGAAAGAAAAAACACCCAGCAAGCTTCCAATACCCCCAGGCGACGTCTCAGTTGTTTGTGGAAACTAGCGGAATTTCCCTTGCATGTACCATTTTCGAAACATATGGTTTTCCTGCTTCCTTCTAGTCAATGAAGGGCATTTTTTTTGGTGAACTCAATTTAGCTGGTGACATCACCATTAAGGGTAAAAAATGTAGGTTTTCCCTTCGATCTACTATAACTAGTCCAGTCTTTGTGGTAGGATTGCGCGGGAACACCAGGAAGAGATCAAGGAGATTCAGCCGGACGACCTTCAAAAGCTGCTGGCTTCAGTTGGGCGATGGCCAAATCTTCACAGCCCCAGCAAAGGTGATATTGGCAGGACCATTGGCAATGGCATTCCACAGAAAGGAATTAAACAGTGACATGGGCCCAGTGTGGGCCAAGATTGAGTGCTTAGATCTTTGCTTTCAAGATTTGGAGTGTTTGCTGTACAATTTCAGGGTACGAGTCAAAGACATGTTTTTTTATCTCTGGTGGAGGGCCATGGTTTGCCTAGGGAATACGGGGTACCCATGAGCCCCCCAGCCTGTTGGGCCTGTTGCTATTGATCGCTTTGGGCTGCAGGATGCTCCCCTCATGGCATATTAGGACACAATCATAGAACATCTATAGATAGTAAGAAACAATATGAAGGTAGTCTTGTCCTTTGGGCGTGCATACATCTGCACACATGCATATATATATATATATATATAGTTATATATATATATATTATAATATGTATACTGGTTGGCGGTTTAGAACATGTTTTTATTTTTCCATATATTGGGAATCATAATCCCAACTGACTAACATTTTTCAGAGGGGCTGAAACCACCAACCAGTATATATAATGAGAATCTTATATTATATAACATTTATATATATATATATATACATATATATATACATATATATATATATTGTTCTGTCAATTGTACTGGGGAAAGAGTTGTTCTCCACTTTTGAGGGCCAGTGGGACCCATTGGTCGATCAGGTTGGAAACCTTGATGGTCGTTCCTGACCCCATTCGTCGAACTCTGGAAGCTGTGCAACTTTGGCGGCGGGAAAATCCAGATTTTTAGTAGGACATCCCATATTTTGTTGGTGGGAAATCCAACTTTTTCGGTGGGAAATTCCTTTTTTTGGGGTGCGCACATCCTCTTTTTCAATGGTATATCCCCATTTTTGCACTTCCAAAAGTGGGCGGTTTGGGATCTAGCCTTATCTCCACTAGCTCCACCATCTTCAGGACGCAAATAAATGGTGGGTAGCAACTCCCCCCAGAAAAAAACATTTTGGGGTTTATAGCGTAGCTATATAGACCCAACCAAATGTAGAAAAAATGCGACTCAGGATACATCATCAAATCTGTTCCAGCAGTCTTGTTGCAGATTTGGCGTCCAAGGTACATGCTGTTGCTTCCATCCTCTGGTTTGCCTTCCATCAATGCCCTGACCCCCCCAGAGTGGGCCGGGATTCAGGAGATGTTGAAAGACAGCTCCTGGACTCAAGAAGGCTTAGCTGGCTTAGCTACTAAGAACAAGGACGAACAAGCAAATGACAACGGACATGACATGAGTGAACCATACAGAACCAACAGGATCAAACAATCTAGTGAATCTAGCGGATGGTATAACTACTATTTTGGCCTGAAAGCTGAAAAGCCGAGAGGCTCGAGATATGAGTGTGGAGGAAATTTGCGTATTAAGCATTGCGGACTGAGTTGGGTTGCAGCAGTAGCTACAGCAGCTTGTCAAATCCCTCATTGGCCCAACTCCCGCCTGGTTGGTGGTTGTTGACCAGTCAGGTTCCATGCTTCAGCGTGTGTTGAATTATACTGCTCGCAAGGAGGAGCCGAGCCCACACTTTGAGATACCGTGCTGGGCTGACTTGTGAAAGGTAGGTGAATGATTCATGTGTATTTTGATTCTCAGCAGTTTTGACTGGGGACGATGTTGAATGTTTATTTGTTTAGTTTCCGAAAGCATTGTGATAAGGGAATATCTCTGCAAGTATGTATAATATATATATATACATATGTATATAATTTATATGGATATATGCATACACACACTTGCTCAGAAATAGCTTATCGAATTATTGATGTGGAATGCATCGTACGTGCAAAAACACCTCAGTAAACCTGACAGGAATGGTTGAATGATTAGAAGTGAGAAGCAGTGCGAAGGCAATCTTTCTACGTCCTTGCTCGAAGGATTTACTGGTTCTGATGCAGCTCAGTCAGATTGTGAAAACCGTACAGTAGTTTGGTTTGAAAAACGACATGCCGGTTCTTGGCTTGGCCGGTCACCATTTCGGAAAATGGAAAATTGGAAAATTTGCAGGTACGTTTGCACGACATCATGGATGGGTCTTCGTTGGCCCGTGCCATCCATGTGCCCACGGGCCCCCTGCATCTAATAAATGAAGTAACTTGAAGTAACAGCAACTTACTTGCCCGAAAATAGAAGGAAAAGAAACCATCCAAAACAAACAGTACGTGAGTTAGAAGTTTTACATCTTTTCAGATGTTCCACACACACGCCTCGCTGCCGCGAGGCTGTTTAAGGCCCCGACGAATGAGATGAAGGTGAAGATGAAGGAAAGATGAAAATGAGATGACGATGAAAATGAGATGACAATTACTTAACCGGAACACAAGAGGGGGAACGCAAAAAGGAAAAGGAAAAAGAGAGAACACCAACACCAACACACCTGGCCCGAAACGGGCAAACCCTGAAAGGGCAAGGAAAAAGAAAAAGCGGACGGACGACGGGCCAAAAACCAACCAGAGGAGGGGGGGCGGACAGAAGCGCCTGACACAACCTACAAGGCGAGAGCCAAAGCCTACCTAGGAACACGAAGGACCCGAACCTGACCTAGAGAGGAAGGCGCGCATGAGATAGGGGACCAATGGGGAACTAGTTGATGAAAAAAGATGCATCCACATTACGTGCATTTTTCGTGATAAGGCTCAAAGGCCCTCGGTATTCAATTCAACCCCATCGACGGCTGTCAGTATTCAGGTGAATTAAGTGCACAACTAAACCTCACCAACGACCATAGAAAGAATCACCACACCTGAATGTCCTGAAGCCTTCACATGGTCACATGTCATTTTGAAAATGTCGAGCTCCGTACTCTCTAGGGCATCATTGAAAAAACGAATGTTGTCGCGGCTTTCAGCAAGCTACTCTTGGAGATGCATTCACTCTGGAAATTCATCAGTCCCCGTAACAGCGGGCAGCTGTTCAACACTCACTCGACCGACGTGTGAGACCATGAAAAATGGCTGGCAGTTCAGTTTACTAGACGAATTACTAATTCAAAAGTGTAAATTCAGACCTCGTTTTACCGTCAAAAGTTAGCCTGGAAAGGCTTTCCCCGAAGGGTTCATACCATCTTGACGAAAATCGGTATGAAGGACACACTTGCTCAGAAATAGCTTATCGAATTATTGATGTGGAATGCATCGTACGTGCAAAAACACCTCAGTAAACCTGACAGGAATGGTTGAATGATTAGAAGTGAGAAGCAGTGCGAAGGCAATCTTTCTACGTCCTTGCTCGAAGGATTTACTGGTTCTGATGCAGCTCAGTCAGATTGTGAAAACCGTACAGTAGTTTGGTTTGAAAAACGACATGCCGGTTCTTGGCTTGGCCGGTCGCCATTTCGGAAAATGGAAAATTGGAAAATTTGCAGGTACGTTTGCACGACATCATGGATGGGTCTTCGTTGGCCCGTGCCATCCATGTGCCCACGGGCCCCCTGCATCTAATAAATGAAGTAACTTGAAGTAACAGCAACTTACTTGCCCGAAAATAGAAGGAAAAGAAACCATCCAAAACAAACAGTACGTGAGTTAGAAGTTTTACATCTTTTCAGATGTTCCACACACATATATATATATATATATTATAGACGATATGCCGCTAGATTTGAAGGTTTTGATGAAAGACTAACCATGCTCAAAGTAGTATTTTTGTCTAATTCACGCCCGTTGTTTCTGTTGTTTCCATCCCTGCTCAGGTTGGGTGATGGATCGCTCGACCACTAATGGCCATGCAAGTCTTAAGGTGAATAGGAACAGAGTGACCAACCACTCAGTCTCTGGGTCCTAAAGTCAGTTTTGCTTCTCATATCTTCCGACCTTTGAAATTACATAATATGTATGTGAGTATATACATGTATATACATATGCGATGTAATGTATACATATACATATATATTATCCCGTATATATACGTCAGATCGTCAGTATGTGGTAGGTATGTTTGTTCCTCGATCAAACCTGTGACCCGTTCCCAATTCAAAGAATTGGATAACTGGATAACACAAATGCTAGAAGTGCAACTTGACCTCAGGCAAGCTCTTTTATCATCTTGTATAGAAAAAGAATATGGACTAAAGAGCGATGTTTCATCCAATGCTAAATGGAGGAATATATATATATACACATATTATATGACTTTATGCAGCCAATGCAGACATCTCACATCATGTGCTATAAACATTCAACATAGTATCCTGTGTATTCCTATGATTATTTTCGTGCATTACATAACACATCATGTACAGTATAACGAAGGTTTAGCTATGCTGCGTAGCCAGTGGTCGTCGTACTAGGAGATGGTCACCCGGCCGTTGTGGGGAAGCTATGCAGCCAGACGCTTCTTTAGCATTGAGAAGGCGGGAGGGTCAGGGCAACTGGTTGCGGCGTAGGGATTAGTTTGATGGGTTTGATCGTTAGGGTTGGCACATGCTGTGTAATTCAGATGATGTCAAGTACCTTGATTTGTTTTTTTTCTCGCTCCTTTGCCTGAAGGGTAACACACTGTGTGGATGGCGGAGTCGACATGTCCATTGAGTCCTTTGTTACCCCAGATGGCAGCTTTCATTGAAATCTATCAAACCTCAGCGAGAAGATTGAAATGAACCGTGAATGATAGATATATTGGATAGATTAGACTGGATAGATTGGATAGATTGGATAGATTAGATCGATTGGCTAGACTGGATAGATTAGATAGATATGATTAGATAGTGTAGATAGATTATGAGATAGAGTAGATAGATTAATTACAGATTAGATATATTAGCTAGATTAGTTATAGATTCAATATATTAGATAGATTAGATAGACTAGACCAGACCAGACCATAGAAAGATAGACAGACAGATAGCTAGATAGGTAGATAGAAAGATAGAAAGGTAGATAGATTAGATAGATTATATAGATAGACAAGACAAGACGAGACCAGACTAGACCAGACCAGACCAGACAGATAGATAGAGAAATAGATAGAAGAGATAGAAGAGATAGAAGAGATAGAATGAATTTACAGAATAGACAGGTTTGATAGAGTAGATAGATTAGATAGAATAGATAACGGGTTAATATACAGGATTTACAACACTTTATTTTCTAGCCAGAAATCATGGCGATTCAACCAACCCCCCAGGGTAACTTCCCAATAATTGGGGATTACTCTCTGTTATTGATAAAGGGTGTTATGTAATTGATATGAGTGGATATTAATGGATATTAGTGGACATTATTGGATACTAATGTTACCAATGGATATTCATTCATGTTTTTTCTGATTTATTAATTAATGGCTATTCATGCTGCTTGGTTTAATCCTCTAGAAAAATATCACTGCAACCCCATTGGTGCCACAGTTCTCCAACAGGTGGACGCTGATCTCAAGGAATTGGATGAACCGGCGAGGCCCCTGTCCTACGAGCGGGTGCTGAGTTCTTGCGAGTCCTTGCATCTCGCCTGTCTTTGAAGGTCCCTGCATGGTGACTTTCTCAAACAACAGGCATGTGCAAAATGATGAAAAATGGTGCATATCAAACTGCAAAGGTGGAGGGGGAGACCTGAACACCTCTGACCACTAGAAATTTGAAGCCGAAGAATTATCTTCCAGACACCAACTTTTGGAGTTCAAAATGTGAGTTTTCAGGAAGGTACTTCTTTGCTGGGTCAAATTTTTGGAAACGGACTGATAAACCATTGGTTTGTGCTCTATTTCGGGCTATATAGAATGAAGGAATGTTCACATGGTATTGATTGGGGCAAGTAGACACGCATGTATGGGGGACTCTGCTTATGGCGCTGGAGAGTTTTCCATCATATGTTACCTCAAAATGAACATATCCAATACTCAACCAGGGTCTCCGGCGATGCTGTTTCTATGATGATTGTCATTTTCAGTGATTAAATTATGCCATATTATACCGGTATTATAGGCATTGTCATTATTTGAGCCACCACAAAAACCCCGGCAATACTAAATATGTATTGGGCGGACATTGGCTTGTGGAAATTGATGGAAATTGTTAAAAACACACGGCAAGCGATGGGACCTTCCCAAATTAGCGATACCCCTTTTCAAGGTTATGTCATTGTATTTCTCTATTGTCCACATTAGCGATACCCAAATTGGACGGTGATGTTTGTGAATTATCTACATATATACATAAATGTAGCAGTTTCCTGCAAGCGATACCCCCCAAGTTTACCATATATCATTAGTGTGCAAACGTGTGGTAAGCAATGGGACCTTCCCAAATTTGTGGATGTCCTTTCCGTGAACCGAGGGTTTTCGAGATTGCTCATCTATGTGTGTATGATGTTTATATGATTCTATTGTTACAATTGTGGTTCTTCGTATCAATTCACTATAGGAAGAAGTGTTTCTTGTTTGCTGCTGCACTGCTGCCACTGCTGGGGAGGGAGTTTTCTTGGTTGCCGGAATATTTCGTTGGATCCCAACAACCCCCGCTCAAGCGGCTTTGCCCCATAAAACCAATTCGACATAGCCGTGGAAAATGAACCAAGGTTCGGAACTGCCGTGACTCGGTGGTCGTCCTGAAAGGTGCCCCCTGGGGGGCAGGCTTATGACCCATAGAACCCACAGCTGGAGGGAGAAGGATAACATTTGGGGGGATTGACGGGTTCATCCCCTAATACACTGCGAAACCAACTATATAAGGCTTCTGAATCTGGGGTTAGCATTGTCTAAAGGAACCATGGAACTGGAGCTGGTCGGAAAGATGTCCTGGGCCTAGAAAATGGTTGATATTGGTTGGTTCCAATCCGGGCAAAGCCTGAGGCTTGACATGGGTCCGCAAAATCCGGGAACTGTTTCCAAAAGCATCCAAAAGCGAAACGATCAAGAGCTTGTTTGACGATGGTCCCCAATTTTGGGGGACACACTGCCGCACCCACAGTGATAGGATTGAAACATATCACAGAATGGCAGAGTTATATACTGTACCTCATTTTTCTTTTTTTCCTTGGTGTCATCAATGTAAAGTTGTTTTCAGCATCGTTGTGAGAAACTTCTCAACACTTGCATTGCACAAGTCACCAGGCGAGTATATTATCAGTTTCAAAGTGTACATTATACATGGATTCTGCCTTGTGTGTTTTCATCCTCAATGCCAGCCATTCCACTTGCAATACAAAGTCGAATAAGTCGATATCCTTGTTGGCCACCCCTTATCATTTTGTTTCCCAAGGACGGAAAGAAGCACGCGGTGGTGCTGCTGTACAAATGGGTTTTGTCGTTGCTGATGCCCGATTTGAAAGAGCTTGCAGACCGCTTTGGGCAGTAGGACCAGAAACAGGTGGTCAAAATCAAGATAGAGTCAGTTTGTATTGGCTTCGTGGCAGGATTGCCTTGTTGTTCGGAATTTCATTTAGTGTGAACGATGGCAACAGCCCCACTGCTGCGTGCCTTTCTAGTTGGAAAAAGTTGTATATACAGAATTCATTGGGGCCCAGGAAGCAGGCAAATGTTTGCTCGGGATGTTTTTTTTTGCCGAGTGCTTTCAATACCAGTTCCTGGCTACCCAACCCTAACATTGACGTAGTTGTTTTGAGTAAATACGGTTGTTCCAGGTAATTTTGTAGTCTGACACGGGTCCCCTCATAATATCAGCAGACCATCGTTCGAAATTAACCCGGAGATGAGGTCCTCCAAGATAGTATTTGAGTGTTGGAGATATTTCACATTTTTTGCTTTGGAGTTCCATGCTTCAGGTCACCACATTGTGATTTCAGTTCAGGCTGGTAACTTCTTTGATAATTCAGGCTGATGAAAAGAACACGGGTTTAAGGGCTCCAGAAATACATTTGTCACCTGTGAAGCAGGCCCTAACACCGTTGCTGCGCAGTGTTGCTTGCGCCCCTCCAAGAGGATCAAGCTGGGCCCTCCTGTGACACTTTGGGAACCTGTGGAGCATGAAGTTTCAGAAAGATGATGTTTCTTTCTTTCTTCCTGTTGCGCAGCAATGGGTGAAGAGAAAGTAGATAAAGCCAGAAATTCGAACAGACTGAACACCCATAAGCTGGAAATCGTGATGACCTAGCAAGGGTTTTTGGCACAGAAACTCATCGATTGGAGGCCACCTTGCATGTTTCATCGTAAAGTCCTTTCGGTTTGCCCGTCACATGACCTGCTATACCCTTTGGTAATCAAAAATGGCGTAAGGATAAACAGAGGATATCATTAAAAAAAGATGTAAACATGTATTCCGCTTGCCATGTTTGACACATTTTGACGCCGAAGGGATGAAGGGTAAGTCCCAGTGTCACAGGGGGCAGTTGCAAGGAATTCGTCCACAGCTGGAGGTGTGAACCGCACGGGGTTTCTATGTGGGGATGTGATTCGCATGATTAATATGATGGAAATTTGTATGACCATCGCAAATATATGCAAATATGTGGATGTGCAAGGGCATTATTATTACCATTGTGAGGAGAAGCAATATAAGCCAAGCTGATATGAGCATGAACTGGTTGTAAGTTGCTATAGCGTATAACAGTCATCAGTTGGACGTCATTTTCCAGGGAAGGTGTAGAATCAAGTCACCATAGACAATGGTGCCTACTGGAGGAACCATGATTTCTGTGACCTAATCCTTTTTTTCCGCGAGCCTCTTGATTCTACATGCATAAGCAGCGAGAATGCCTTTCAAAATAGGTTGACAATTTGGTTTCCAGTGGGATCTAGATCTGCATGTGGAAGTCAAAGTGACAATCAAGAGAAGTTTTATTCATAAGCACCGACTATAATGCAGCGCCATGCTTTGCAGAAATCTCCGAAGCTTTATTTATTCAGAAGAACACCATCGAGATATTGAGAAAGCCTTGGCTAGTATCAAAAATGATTCAGATCATTAAGGTTCATTAAGTATGAGTCAAAATTTAGGGCCAAGGCTCCCGCAGATGTCCACCAGTGGACTGATCTTCACTGGGATAATCCGAGAATCCCTCGAGCTGGATCATGGTCAGTAGGACGCAGATGCAACTTGGATGCTTATTGTTCTCTTGAACTTACGGCTCTCCCATTGGCAGTCATGTTTGAAAGAGGACTTTAGAGTTGATACTGCAGAGACTCGGTTTCACGAAATTCACTGGATCCAAGTTTCGCAAAATCCTTCAATGAAACCTTCGACATGAAACTCTGGAGCTCAAAAAAGAGTCAATCTAGATCCCTAGAGCTTCAGTTGCTATCATTTGCTACAGCAGGCAGTGCTTTGGATCAGCGTCAGATCTCCTGGTGATTGGATTTGTTTTCTTCCAGGGCGGACGGGAATGCACCAAAAAAACGTGGCTTCAGCAAAGCTTGAACTGCGTTCCCATGCTGCCAGTCACATGGAAGAGACTGTGAACCTATGATTTTCCACGACTATACGCGGAAAACAAGCAGCCCGCAACACGAGTCCTGCAGGCGATACGTTCGTTGGGTTGGTTGAGGAAATGGGAACATTATCTTCAAAGCATTAATTCCAGTAAAATATATGAATACAAGGTATTCTTGTAATTTTACAACATCTCTTGCGGGAATGGAAGCGAGTTTGGGTGTTTACATAACCAACACTCGGATTTTTTTTGAGCTAGCCGCTACTAATTTTCAACCCCGAAGAAATCAACAGCGTGATTTCTTTTGTGGCGCCTGCAGGAGTGTCAGATTATGTCAGATTATAATATATATATATGTATATATATATATATCATTTGGCAATCAAATTCATATATATATATATATACATCTATACCTTATACATCATCCAGATGCTGGCTTCATTGTTTGATTTCTGTTACTTTGCTTATCATCCTTGCAGTGATGTTCATCTATTTCTACATGGTACATCATGGTACCTCCCCATGTCATGTTGAGGCGATCCTGGGCCGCCACTGGGGGGTCCAGGTACTATGTGAAGCACCGCGCTCACAATGAACGGGGTCCTTCAACGTGGCCGTCTCGGGGGCGGGGGCGAAGCAGACTCAATGTACATACGATGGTGCATTGTATGTGAATGAGCTGTATTGTTCTTGAATGAATTACAATGGTTTTCAGATGTTGTTTGCTTTTAATTCAAGTTTGACCTCATCATTGCCGAATCAAACTAGTGGTGCTATGTTTTACTCCTCTAATTCCAAAGGGATCTAAAGGGTTGGTTTTATGGCAAGGTTGTCAGCAAAAATGAGCCATGACCAAATTGGACACATCACCCATAGGACCTCAAACTTCCTACCGAGCACGCTCAAAGCATGGAATATGTCGACGGCCTTCTTTGAGACAACCAGGATTTCTATCACAATGAATGACCCCAGTCGAGATAGACACATATATAACTATCCATAACTATCCTCTGGCAATTGGCTGCAGTTTTCTATAGATGGACCATGGCTTCCATAGCTATGTTAAACTGTCGGAGGGTAAGATAAACAAACAAAAAACATTCAAAACAATTATTGGTTCTTGGCCAATTACATATTCATAAGGCTAAGCCCATGTTTGGTGGTATTGGGGGAATACAACATTCATGGTTTGTTGCAGATGTTCTCTTATCCCAATGGGTTGGTTTAAGGGAAACTCCGGGCTTGCAACTGCATGGATTCCTCCAGGGGCTTGATGGTTTCCTCGCAAGAAAAACATGTTCAAAGCAACATTTGGAGCGTTGGGGATCTGGAGATTGGATATCACGTGGAAAAGCATCATATGAATGGTTTCCTACATAGTTTCTTATGGTTTCCTATGAAAAACATGCTTTCCATGGGTTTCCATGGGTTTCCTATGTTTTTCAGCTTGATACCAACCCATTGACCCACTGACCTTGACGTTTCGTGGTGTCTCCTCAGGTGGAGTGAGACCACCCTGGGCATCGCCACACGGAGTCGGCCACCTGAAAGGCGGGGAATCCGGGGAAAATGGCCAGGTGAACTGTTGGTGTTGGTGGTGGATGTCAACATATGTGTATATATATATAGTCATAATATAACATAATTCCATGATATCATATTTCATATCATATACATTTTTTTTAATACTTATGTTTTGATTATATAATTATATACCATGTATGATTATTATATGATATATCACATATATATATATACAAAAGATATACTGTACATTTATTTGCAGTGGTGTGTAGGCACCTGTGGATAATGTTGTGTGCACTTACTCTTTTAATTATTTCTTAACACCAACATGCATGGGTATAACTCAGTTGTTTAGTAATTTACTATTTTGTGGTTGCTGAATGTTGACGTTCAATGGATGCTAATTTTGTTTCGTTTTTTTGTTCGTGCGTTGCCCCCCCGCTGAGAAGGAAAACATGTTACATGCTGAGGTTTTCCTATTTTATGATTTGCCAAGGGTTTGGACTTACACCATCAGGGAAGACTTGCACGGATGATTTTGATGCATTGGAGGCAGCAGTTTACATACTTCGGACTCTGGATGAGATAGTTCTGATATGCTCTGATAATCCAAGATGTTGGAAGGTTGCGAGGGGCACTGGCCTTGTGCGAAGGAGTAAGCTGAGTAAGCATTGCACGGTCAAGATTCCAAGGGACAGCTTAGTTTGAAGAATCTTTCGCCCTGCACTGAGATGCACTTCTCATCATTTTTCTTACAAGCGCCATATCGACATTTTTTTCGCAACATCTTCGCTGCAGTTCCAAGTTTCAAGGCTTATCAAGTGAGAAACAAAGCAGGGTGTCTCAAAACTATCAACAAGTTTTGCCACCAACCCTGAATGAACATCCCTGAAGAATATTATACAGATATGGACAACATATAGATATCAGCCAAGGGCAGCCTTGTCACGTCAACAGTTCCTTCACAGCCCCAATGGCACCCTTTCCGCGTCGTTCTCGCGCATTGGCACCTGGTTTGGCTGTGTTGGTGAGCTTTGGGAGGAGTTTCCTTGGTCTTTTAGCTGCATTATAGGCTCGCAATGGCTAAGAAAGTTGGAGGATGGAACAAATGAACACAAGGTACGCTGATAAACCATGATAAACCCTTCACAAGTGAAGATTTGAAGTGATAACTCACCAATAATCCCTAATATACATAATATATAATCATATATATAATTTAAGCGCACACACACATATATGTATGTATGTATGTATGTATGTATGTATGTAATGTATGTATGTATGTAATGTATGTATGTATGTATGTAATGTATGTATGTATGTAATGTATGTATGTATGTATGTATGTATGTATGTATGTATGTATGTATGGTATGTATGTATGTATGGTATGTATGGTATGTATGGTATGTATGGTATGTATGGTATGTATGGTATGTATGGTATGTATGGTATGTATGGTATGTATGTATTGTATGGTATGTATGTATTGTATGGTATGTATGTATTGTATGGTATGTATGTATTGTATGGTATGTATGTATTGTATTGTATGTATGTATTGTATTGTATGTATGTATTGTATTGTATGTATGTATTGTATTGTATGTATGTATTGTATTGTATGTATGTATTGTATTGTATGTATGTATTGTATTGTATGTATGTATTGTATTGTATGTATGTATTGTATTGTATGTATGTATTGTACTGTATGTATGTATGTATGTATGTATGTATGTATGTATGTATGTATGTATGTATGTATGTATGTATGTATGTATGTATGTATGTATGTATGTATGTATGTATGTATGTATGTATGTATGTCTGTGTATGTATGTATGTATGTATGTATGTATGTATGTATGTATGTATGTATGTATGTATGTATGTATGTATGTATGTATGTATGTATGTATGTATGTATGTATGTATGTATGTATGTATGTATGTATGTATGTATGTATGTATGTAATGTGTGTATGTATGTATTTATGTATGTATGTATGTATGAATGTATGTATGTATGTAGTGTATGTATGTATGTATGTATGTATGTGTGTATGAATGTATCTATGTATGTATCTATGTATGTATGTATGTATGTATGTATGTCGAGACCCAGCGGTTGCAGTGACCGCAGAAGGCGACCATTGCCTGTTTGTCGATGGTTTTTCCGGCTATAAACCTATAAACAAATATATGCTAAACATTTTTTCGAGCAAACTTTTCTGCTCAATCACTGCTGCGTATATGTTTTCAAGTCGGTTTTCGCGTGCACAACCGAGCCCCAAACCGGGACTTCGTAAGGTCTGCCGCAGGTGCAAACGCCTCGCAAGGCATCGGCTTGGGCCTGCGAGACCCAGCGGTTGCAGTGAGCGCAGAAGGCGACCATTGCCTGTGCGACCAAGACCAAGCAGGCAGGGCAGCCGGCCACAATTGCCTGTGCCTGGGCCTGGGTGACCCAGACAGAACAGTGAGGGCAAAAGACGATGAGGGCCTCCGGTGTCATCGAACGTGGTTTGCTGGACAATTGCCTGTTTGCTGGACAATTGGCTATAAACCTATAAACAAATGTGGGCAACCCGATGCCAAAAAACGACCAAACTATGGGATGGTTTTTATGGTTTTTGAAACCAATTTATATCACTTTATGATGATTTGGCGATGTATGTATGTATGTATGTATGTTAGTTATGTATGTATATTATGTATATATATATGTATATTATATATATATGCATATTATATATATATGTATAATATATATATATGTATGTAATATATATATATGTAAATATGTATGTATATTAAATATATGTATGTATATTATATATATATATGTATGTAATATATGTATATTATATGTATGTATATGAAATATACGTATGTATATTATACATGTATGTAAAATATATATGTATGTATATTATATATGTGTATATATATTATATATATATGTATATATATTAAATATATATATATATATATGTATATTAAAAATATGTATGTATAATTTATATATGTATGTATATATACAAAGTATGTATGTGTATATTAAAAATATGTATGTATATTATATTTATGTATATTATACATATATATAAATATGTATGTATGTATATTAAATATATATGTATATTATATATATATATATATGATTATATATGTATGTATACTATATATATATATATATCATATATATGTATGTATATTATATATATACAGTTGATACATACCTACCTGGAACTTAAATGACCTCCATTTTGGATCACCTTCCTTTTTCTTGTTCAAAACCTTCCAAAATAAGGGTCATTTCGGGTCCGGGTATCTATAATTAAAAGACATTACGAATCAACTAGTGGATTTCCGGGCATCACGTTTTTTTTCCCTGCGCGAACTGTTTTGCATCCAAATGTACAGGGTGGTGCCCCAGTTCGTTAGCTAAGTTGGTTTATAAATCCAATAACTATAGTTTATAGGTGATATATCGAACTAGTTGGGAGCGCCGTTCCCAACTAGTTCATGGGATTATAACCCATTTATAACTTCGGGGGGGGGCACCACCTTGTATGGTAGATATGGTAATTAGTACATCTACCACGCATTGAGCATATGGGTTTGGGAATACCTACCCTAAATACGGCACCAGAGGCTCTGTACCTACGTCTTTCCGAACTATCAAGTGGTTAATGAACCATATTGTATGGAGATCTCCTCAAGTTCTCATGGCTAACCATGTCAAAACATATCACCCTCTGGTAATTTAACAATTCGCTATGGGAGCTGTGACCTATTATTATCGATGATTTATCTACTAAACATGGTCATGTTCTATGGCGAATTCTTAGATGAACAAATGGTAAATTCCCATTAAATTCAAGTAAATTAAATCCCGATTTCTTGATTGATGGCTAAACTATACATTAAATACCATTCAATTTCCATTCTAACTATTCCCACCAAAACCCATTCAGTTCTCATGATATTTTCTTTAACACACACTTCCCACTAAACCTACAGGTTTTTTTTCAGGATGAACTCGGATGGTTTCGTGAGAAAGTGCCGCCTCTGCGGCTCGATTGGATGCTTGCTGCAGCTGAGCATTGGCCTGGAGTCACCCATTGGGCAGCTCGACATCAGCAATCATCAGCATCAGTATGAATGTACGATAAACAATGACATACAGACACAATGTATCGACATCAGTATGTGTGTGTATATATACACAGTATATATATACATATAGATACATATAGTAAAACTGATCAAGAAGATTGGGGCTATTGAGATTGGAGAGTGCCCAAATATACTATACAACACCCTAATTTTGGTAGACAGAAATCCCTAGACCTTGGTTTCTTGCAGTGAATCAACATGTTCGTTGATTATGTTGAGTAAATATCACAGATTTGCGGCGAACCCCGTCCAATTGTTTGTTGACTAAATCACATTAATTTCGTATTTAATATAACCTCTGGTTTTTTAACATAGCCATGGGAAATGGCCCATTTATAGATATGTTTAACTATGAAAAATGGTGGATCTTCCACGGCTATGTTAAATAACCAGATGGTAATCCTCAATTTTAGCTGGTTCACTCCACATGTTTGTCCTAACTTTCATGTGACCATCCCAAAAAAAATGTTTAATTTATGTTTCCTCGCAGGTGTTATCGAAATCCCAGTTAGCTGACGAAATTCCATTCTTGCAGCCAACTTCCCAAACTCTTGCTGTTTACCCTCTGGTAATTTAACATAGACCCTGAAAATCACCAATGTTTAATGGAAACTAGTCTTCCAACCCCGATGACTGCCAGGGTCGAACTGTTAATTTACCAGAGGGTATAAACCATTATAGCTATGGATACTATAGTAGCTATTAATGGTATAGTCATGGCTAATGATGGGATTAATATGATGGGATATAACCCAAACATACCCTTACCATTAGTCTATGTTTATTTACCAGAGGGTAATGGTTACTATAATAAACCATTATAACCATTGTAAACCATTATAACCATAATTAATATAGTAACCATTATAAACCATTATAACTTTTGTTGCGTTGAGTTTCCAACCCAAAAATCGTCCCTCTTTACCAAAATCGTCCCACCTCCGCCAGAAAAAAAAACGGTGACCTCCAGCTGCGATGGTGGATGAGCGCTCAAGAGCTGTGCATCGACCGAGGCAATGGTCATGGCCATATCCTGCCAAGGCTATCGACTGAAATGCCTCTGGCGTCTCTATTGTACTATCTATATATATATATATATATATATATTCACTCGTAGGGATGTATAGATCCTGGCAACTACTAGCTAGGGACCATATCAATCTTCATTGTAGACCCTCCTGGTGGGGTCTGACATGGGGTCTGGAATGAAAAACCCTATGGGTTCCCACAACTTACCTGCAAACATCTCAGACCCTTCCATAGGGACCTGGAACACCTACTGTGAGCGAACAGCATGCACAAGGTAACTTCATTGTAGACCCTTCCCCCGTGTGACATCCTGATACATCCTGGAAACCCAGCAGTCCAGCACAGCAGGGTTGATGGGAAGCCTTCAGATTCTAGTGGTCCAACTCTCAGATGGCAGGATGGCACAACTTTCACCAGTGATGTCTTTTTCTCTTAAGACAGCAGTCATGTGGTTGAGACATGTTGAGACATGTTGATACCAGTTTGAGTTCTCGGTGGCCACATGTTCTGAATGATTTTTCATGGAGTTGAAGGGTCTGAAATGGTGTTACCCAAGATATCAGGCATGGTTTCAACATTAATGGCTCAGGCAACACCATGTCAGACCCACACATGTAATGCACGCCCTTGCTTCAGGTGATGGGAAGCCTTCAGATTCTAGTGGTCCAACTCCCAGATGGCAAGGTGGCATAACTTTCACCAGTGATGTCTTTTCTCTTAAGACAGCAGTCATGTGGTTGAGACATGTTGATACCAGTTTGAGTTCTCGGTGGCCACATGTTCTGATTGATGCTTCATGGAGTTGAAGGGTCTGAAATGGTGTTACCCAAGATGTCAGGCATGGTTTCAACCTTGATGGCTCAGCAAACACCATGTCAGACCCTCACATGTAATGCACGCCCCAACTTCAGGTGATGGGAAGCCTTCAGATTCTAGTGGTCCAACTCCCAGATGGCAAGGTGGCAAAACGAAAGTTGCAACGATTTTCACCAGCGATGTCTTTTCTCTTAAGGCAGCAGTCATGTGGTTGAGACATGTTGAGACATGTTGGTACCAGTTTGAGTTCTCGGCGGCCACATGTTCTGAATGATTTTTCATGGAGTTGAAGGGTCTGAAATGGTGTTACCCAAGATGTCAGGCATGGTTTCAACCTTGATGGCTCAGGAAACACCATGTCAGACCCTCACATGTAATGCACGCCCCAGCTTCAGGTGATGGGAAGCCTTCAGATTCTAGTGGTCCAACTCTCAGATGGCAAGATGGCAAAATGGAAGATGCAACAATTTTCACCAGCGATGTCTTTTCTCTTAAGACAGCAGTCATGTGGTTGAGACATGTTGAGACATGTTGGTACCAGTTTGAGTTCTCGGTTGCCACATGTTCCGAATGATTTTTCATCCTTTACATCCCTTCACAGGGTCTAACATGAAGTTCTGTATTACTTACTCCAAAAGGTCTAGAGTGAATTTCATTCTCTGCTTCCAAGGGTCTGACATGGTATCTGGAGAGGGTCTAAACTGAATTCAAGGCATGTCAGACCTTTTGGAAAATGGACCCTAAGCAGACCATGTTAGACCCTCTAGTAGTTGAGAGTATATGTATAGTATGTCCAAGTGGAGAAACCATACAGGTTCTGCAATGTAATTCTTGGAAGTGGTATAGGTGGTGTATATATATATATAGAGAGTATATTATATAATATTATATTATATTATATTATATTATATTATATTGTAATGTATTGTATTGTATTGTATTATATTATATTATATTATATGAAATATATTCTTCAAATCTCGTCAGGCTTGAATGGATACTTCACTGGGCAAACGTTGGAAGTTCATCATCTCAGACATGGTCCTTGTTTGGATTTCACTCTCAAGGGGGCGCAAACCGTTGCGCAAGCGTCCGACAAAACAACATCAAACCTGGCACATGGATGTTACCTTCCCATATTCCGTCCCTCAGTTGACCCGCGGGAATTTCCCGCACCAAGTCTCGTGCCATGCCATGGATCTGAAGGACTGCTGCAGCTGCTTGGCGCTCCACTTCAACGTCTGTGGCTGCACTCCACACTGCTCGTGTGACCACGATGGTGGCGTTTTGAGATGTCGCCGCGCCAAGGTCTTGTTGAAATGGCTGATGGCCTCGCCAATTTCCACCTGCAATGGCCTCGCTTGATTTCGGGGATGCTTCATCATTGCAATGGCTGAACAGATCACAGTACTTCCCAGCATCACCATCACCAAATGAAGTCTATGTTTCTATGTATTTATATATATATATATTTATATATACCTATATATATGTATATATATATATATATTATAATGATATTATATATACATATAAATATTAAAATGATATTATATATAATTTATCATGATATTATATATATATATATATATTAAAATGATATTATATATAATTTATCATGATATTATATATATATATATTAAAATGATATTATATATATATTAAAATGATATTATATATATATTAAAATGATATTATATATATATATATCGTGAGCTGCAGTATGCTTGAAGGAAACACTGTGACAAAATTTATAGGTTCCTGGGAGGGCGGTGAGCAAATAGATAGATAAAGTAAGAATAAATGTGATATGATAGTGATAATATAACATGTACGAATTACTAATAGGTACATATCAAAATCTTGACCAACAACGTATCCGCAAAAACAAGCTTGTGTGGAATCTACTTGTGACCCATCTATTCATCATCCCGGTCATGACTCCAGGGTTTCTTGCAGGTTGAACTACTGTCAGTGCCGGAATTACAGAACGGAAGTTGAGGAGTACGAAGGTACGGTTATTTACCGTACCCTGTTGTTCTATAATTCTGTTTTCCTCGGAAGGTGTGAAAAAAAACGTATCTGAATTTACTCCTAACTTTTTTCGTCGTTCTATAATTCTTGTCGGAGCGCTGCTGTTCTATAATTATGTTTTCCCCCATTTTTCTCACATTTCCCATTTTCGTTCTATAATTAATGTTTCCGGGGCCCCGTTCTATAATTAATGTTTCCCGGGCCCCGTTCTATAATTCTTGTCGGAGCGCTGCTGTTCTATAATTCTGTTTTCCCCCCATTTTTCTCACATTTCCCATGTTCGTTCTATAATTCCTGTCGGAGCGCTGCTTTTCTATAATTAATTCTGTTTTCCCCCTTTTTTCTCACATTTCCCACTTTCGTTCTATAATTAATGTTTCCCAGGCCCCGTTCTATAATTAAATTTCCCGACTCCGCGCGGAATCGGAACCCGGAGGAGTACAAAGGTACGGTATTTTACCGTACTTTTGTACTCCTGGCTCCGTTCTATAATTCTGGCACCCGCTGTAGGGGCGATCTTAGCTGCACAGATCGTTGTGGACGATCTTGCTTGTGGCACTCGGGTGATGCTGCTGTCAGACACCTTGTGTAACAAAGATGCCACCCCTGACACCTCTGAGCCTTAAGTACTGTATAGATGAACGTCAGTGATTCCAACCATGCAAGACAGCTGCACAGGGAACATGAAAAAAAACTGTGACGGCCAAAAACATGTGGGCTCCTACTTTAATTTGCAATCATGTGTTATCCTTGCAAGAGAAAAACCATCCTATAAAAGGTTATAGTTACTGTAAAATGTATTGAAACCACTGTAAATCATTGATTTTCATTGCCATTGAATCACTATAATCATCAACCGACCAGGTTATAAACAAACTATTAACTAGACATATCAATTTAATTTGGGGATTTCCGATTGCCCTGTTTGATACTCCCTTTAAAGTCACCATTAGATCCCATTTGATACCCCCATTTTTAACCCAAGAATATCCCATGAAATATTTGTTGATGGTTCCATCCCCATTTCGCCATCATAATCCCCATTGTTGATGGTTGAATCCTCTACAAATCCCCTTTGATACTGTGGATGGGCCAGCGAAATCCGGAAAACCACCAAAAGGATGGTTGAAACATGTTGAAACCCTATCAATAATTTGGGATGTTTACCATCTATCAACTGGTGATTCGGATTTCGCTGGCCGATCCACAGTAATCCCATTAAAGACACCAACACACCCAAGTTCCACCAGCCCCGCCTGCAAGGTCTCCTTCAATGTCAGTGGTCGGACAGGTCCCAAGCTCGCCAGCCAAGTGAAGTGCTGAAGCGAAGCGGGAGAGCGCCAGGTGGAGCCGAATGGGAATGTGCCAGGGATTTGCCAGGGATTTCATGGAATTGGTTGAGAATGCAATGGGAATTAATAGCATTTGAATAGGAATTGAATGGGATTTCTTGGGAATATATATATATATATATACAAATTTGAATATATAGTGGGATTTAAATGGATTTGATGGGCTTCAATGGGGATATCATGAGGATATCATGGAGATATATAATGTTGTATAATGTGGGATATATAACCAGCTTAATATGCTATGGATTGCTATGGGATTTAGTGTGCGTAATTCTGGCTGAATTGATGGTTAACCCCCTATGTATCTGGATAATTTGTAATTCAAGCTGAAAGGATATTTCTTTGGTTGTTTTGAATAGTAACCCCTGCTTAACCATCATTCCGGTATAATGGAAGTAATATGAAGTACTAGTTGGTTCAAACAAACCAGGAAGTAACTTGAGATCATGGGAATATCTAAGTGAACAACACATGGAGATTAAACATATTAAACGTTATTCACCAACAATAATGGATGGTCCAATACCCCTTGCTTGGTTGAGGACATCACCAAGCACCCCATGTTCAACATGTTCAACTCCAAAGCACCAATTCAAACAACTTCGTTCACCCAGGAAGCCTAACATGTTGAATCCTTAGTTCATATTACCCTCTGGTAAAATAACATAACTATGGAAAATTACATTTTTAATGGGAAAATCCACTATAAATCACAATTTTCAATAGCTATGTTAAATTACCAGAGGGTATTTGTAGTTCCCTTTTCATTTTGAAGTATTCCCTTCCAAAAAAAAGACAAAAACCTGGATCCAGATGATCCAGTCGCAATCCAGGAGGGGAATCCAGACTAGCCAACTAGCCACAAAACGGATCCCAGTTTTTGTTTTTCACGGGTTTCACGGGTTTCACGGGTCACTGCCTCATCCTTTTCCATGGATTGCAAGAGCCCTTTCAACGTTGGAGATGGTGGTTCCTGCACCGGGCACCGGTCATGGGGTCATGGTCACGATGATTCACCACTTGTAGAGGACCGGTTCTCCATTGTTGCCCTTGGATACCCCAAACCCAAAACAAACATATCCTCTGGTAAACAAACTGTTTGCTATTTTTCAAATGGCCATAGGAATAGTTGATTTATGTCGATTTACTCATTAAACATGGTGGATCTTTCCAGTTCGTTTTTTCTAAACGTTTACCATTACCAGAGGGTAAACTGGAGGCTACCCCTCGCCAAGTTCTACCCATCTGGTGGCTCGCCTCAGAGTCCCCAGTCCATTTTGGGGTACGAGACATATCGAGGATCAACAGAGACCAAAATAACGTCGGATTTCTTTCATGATTTGGACATATCATTTTTGATTTTTTTTTTAAATATGGTGGAGCCAAAAAAACAATCACAATGATATCGAAATGATCCTGTCCCTGTAGGAAGGGAATCATAGGAGTCTCATTCCATGGGTGACTCTCGGGGAGTCATTCTCCGAGAGAAAAAGATCATCAATCGAAACCGGAGAACCTCGACCATCAGGCCAGGGCATATCCCAGATTTCTCGGACCTTTGATTTTGAAAAATCCAGTGGATAACATACCGTTGATGCGCCACAAAACATCGCCACGTTAAACTCGCCTCAGGCGTGTCGGAAACTGCTGTTTTGTCGGAAGGATTGATTTCGTCCTGGGATGTGTCGGAAACTGCGGTAGTATCCGCCAGCATTGAGTGGCAAACTGATGATCAACCGTCGGATTTTGAGGCTTATTTTCAGACAAAAGCATCTTACTTGGTGGTCCATCCCAGTTAGTAAGTGGGTTATAACCCCAGTCATAAGTGGATTAACCCTACTTAGCCCATTTGTAACCAGGATTATAACCTACTTACTAACCAGGATGAACCACCAAGTAGAGAACATTCCCTGTAATGAATAGGGCACGGATTCGCATTGCTCTGGTTTTCAACAAATGGTCGTATAACTCCATGACCGACAAGCACTTCGTTCATGATGAGAATGGCCACAATGGTCTGAAAAAAAATGGCGTGCCAAAGCATCTACATTTTTTGTCACAGAATCATCCATGTTTTGGGGTCAATCACTTCAACCCATACCCACATGGCTAATACTTGACACTCTGCAAGACAAGCAAACATTTTAGCTATTTGCAAGTAGCTAGGTATTTACTTGTTCCATATATTGCAAGAAACAACAATCATTAAGCTACCCAAGGTTTATCAAAACTAAAAAGAACTCGCCACTCAAGAAAACTCAACGTAGGGATCCTCAACAATGGGACTTCTGAAAACACCCGACACGCGGGGACCCGCCTCAAAAACCCTGGGTGGAAAGGATCTCATAAATCTTCCTTAATGGGTACATTTCGTAAAAGCTTGTGAAGAGATTCCAGGTACATCCCTGTTTGTAAAGCCAGTTATATCATGAAATTACATATGGTTTGTTACAATGTGAGGCCCCCAAGATATAAGTTGGTTTATAAGTCCCAGTAACTATAGTTATAAATACCATAAACTATAGTTATTGGAGTTATAAACCAACTGAACGCTATCTTGGGGGGCCTCACATTGTACCAATAAACACTGTGTACCCTTGAAAATTCACATTGGATCCTTGCATTCCTAAGGGATTATAAACCCTTTCTATGGATGAACCTTAGCCACACATATGTGCCATGGATAGATATCCATCTCCGCTATGCCATTCATATCGCTTACATACTTTTTTGATGGGCCAGCGAAATCCGTTCATCACCAGTTGATAGGAGGTACCCTCTGGTAAACGTTTACATAACTATGGCAAATCACCATGTTTAATGGGAAAATCCACTATTTCGACTGGGCCATTTTCAATAGCAAGCTGTTAGTTTACCAGAGGGTAAACATCCCATGATTTTCTTTGGCTTTCAACCATCCTTGTGACGCAAGATTTCGCTGGCCCATCCGTGGAATTTTCATCTGTGTCCTGCGGTGTTTTGGGCGTCGTCGTCGCGATGTCATGCTCCGGGGCAAAACTGCAGGGCTTCACATCTTCCTGTGATGCATGAGGTTCGTTCAGGATATCAGAGTCAAAAAAAATAGGCTTTGCCATTGAAAATGACCATAGAAATAGTGGATTTTCCCATTTAAACATGGTGATTTTCCGTAGTGATGTAAACGTTTACCAGAGGGTAGGCTTTGCCCTATGAATGGATTGCTGGTTGGTAGTGGTGGTGAAAAAAAACATCTTGAAAAATATGAGATCGTCAATGGGAAGGATGACAGCCCTATGAAATGGAAAAAATAACAAATGTTTGAAACCACCAACCAGAATGGATTGGAACTATCGAACATGTCATCAAACTATCCACATATTAACCATCTCCTGGTATGAATGGATTGGTTTCGTTGGGAAGTTTTTTCACCGGAAAGCCCAGTAAATCCAGTAGATCTTCATGGGAACACCCATCGGATTCGTTTCCGAATTTCCGGTGGGCGATAAATCCAGAGGGAATACAACAATGGGATATATATAATATAAAATAGTACATAATGGGAATATGATGCTTATAAGTTATACAGCTATACAATGTTATACATACATATATTGGCTATCTTGTTGTTAATGGGTTCTCATGATTTATGATGGTTTATAGATGATTTACAATGGTTTATGATGGTGATTTTGCGTGGTTAGGAATCTGAACATGAAGGATATCTATACAGGGCCTGTATGGGCCTGTCTGCTACTCCTCCAGGCATGGAAAAGCAGAATGACATATCTCTTGTTCGCCTGTATCTATACATTTCGATGCATGACAGTGATGATTTGGAGAACGGCAATGAATACACATTAGGGTCTTTAGATTGCGGGAGGAATGACTAGGACTGCTTTTGATGGGAGAACATGGGAGAACCATATCCAAAAAAATGTGCGTTGACATTGGTATGGAGTGTGGCTGGGAATTGGACCCAAACCTTTGGGAATTTTGGCTCTTGGGTGCCCAGCAACGTCCTGGTTGCTGGTTGCCTTCCCGGAAATATTAGCGAAGCTGGGGTTTATCATCCCATACAACCATGCTGAAACGACCACAGCAGTTTCTCCCAAGCGCAGCAGTGATGCTTCAAGCATGTTAAACATTGTTAAACCACATTTGTTTGTCACAAATTCAAGCATTTTACAGCCAGAAATCAGTGATTTTTTTCGCCACCCAGGTCATCCTGACCAATCCCATCAATCTCCGTCCTTGGGGACCCCCTTTGGATGTGGAACTTCCTCAAGATGAAGATGAACCTGCTGAACGGCCACGAAGACTTGAAGAGCAATGAAGATCTTATAAAGTGGCAAAAAAAAGCAGAAAAGGAGCAAGTTCTGTGAAGGCGATTCAGCCCAATTATATTAATGTATTAATATGGGCAAGAAAACCACTTACCAAATCAAATTGACATCCAACATGCTGACAGTGTTGATACAATATGCTGCCCCCAGTTATAACTTGGCTTCGATATATTTACCATAAAACTCTACCATAAACATCCAGATGAACTAGGCCAAAGACATGGAGCAGCAAAACAATTGCCTAGATCCCCTTGTTCAAGAAGCAGCCTGGCATGGCCAAGATTGGCCAATTCATAGATTATTTATGGCATTTATGGTGACTTATGGTGACTTATGGCATTATTAACCTCTATTAACCACTATTAACCACTATTCATCACCCATAGGATCCATGTATGCTATATATATATATATGCTAACATTTGGGTATATTGATGGTAAATGTTACCATGTATAGCATACATGGATCCTATGGGTCATGGTGATTTTCCCATTCGCTACGTTCAAATCGTGAAAAGGCCTCCTCGTCATGTCCACTCCGCTGGGGTGAAGCCTTGGAGTTCAACGAAAACGTGGGCTTGCTGTGACCAGCATATGGGGGATTTAATGGGATTTAATGGGATTTATAGCTGGTTATTGGGATTTATAGCTGATTTATAGCTTAAAAAATAGATTTAATATGATTTAATGGGATTTATAGCTGGTTAATGGGATGTATAGTCACCAAAAAAAATAATAGGGTTTATAGCTGATTTATAGCTAAGCTGATTAACATGATGTACCTATCATCCAGACAAAAATACGGAGATTTAAGGTGGGTCTCCAATTCTCACGGTAGAATCATCCAGTCCACTGTAGTCCTCAATTTCAAGAAGAAAACACATTTTAACAAACGGTATAACAAACGGTAAAGCTGGCAACGGGCAAACCTGAACAACTGGCAAGGGACAAACACTTGACAATATTCATTCACCTTCTTGCAATGGTTTTCCCCTTGAACATAGAACTCCCTTGCCCAAATAGCCAGAAAAAAAACTAAACATGGACCTATCAAATGGATTTCTTTTCCCGGCCGCACTGCATGCTTGGTTTACGCCGATACATTTCGATTACCTTCGATACTCTGCAACTAGCGGATATGCAATAAGAAGGTGAAACTTTGGTGGAACCTAAGCCCCAGCATCAACTAGAACAGAAGTAGAACATCATAAAACAATGATAGGCCAACAGGTTTCTGGTTTGCCTAAGACAGGATTCAGGAAATCAAATCAGGGCAAACCTGGCGTGTACCGGAGATCGACCCCTTCACCTGAACATGAGTCAATGGCAAAAAGTCCCTGCGTCAAGATGGCTAAACAATCATCCATGCTGTGTGATCATTTCCTGAAAATGGCATATGTTGGGGGGTAAATGTTGAGACACACCCAGCTATCATATGGTTGGTCCCGTCGTCCATCATTTTATGTTGATTGCTGTCTCTCAAATGGTCATTACACCATTACCCTCTGGTAATTTAACATAGCTATTGAATGGCCATTTATAGTGGATTTACCCATTAAAAATTGTGATTTTCCATAGCTTTTTGTATGTTTACCAGAGGGTAATTGCTGTCTCTCAAATGGTCACTACAGCATTATCACCACTAACCACTGGTTGATCTTCATTTTCCTCACTGCAGATCTCCTGCAAGCATGATGTTCCCGAAGGCGATAAACTGATCCCATTTATCCCCATATCCCCAAGATCGTTAGTGGTTATCCCAGTATCTTATATATTTCACTTTTCCCTTTTGATTGTATCCATAGTATGTATCCTTACATAATTAGAATGTATTCTATTTTGATAAAAACTCTCATGATATCCATATTATCTAGTGTTTTTCCCCTAGATAAATTCTATAATACTCATGATATCCATTATTTTAGAATTTCTAAACATGGTAAAATATCATGAGAATTATAGAACTAGACGACGGTTGGCCCGAGAGCGAAAAACACGTCCTTCAAGCAGCTCTGAGTATGGTAGTCGTAAAAAATAGTCGGTGAATGGTTGGTGAATTTGATATGAGCTATGGAGGGGAAAGTTGTGAAATTACACACAGACGCTTTTAGACACAAACACTTTCACAGACGCGTTTACACACAGAGACTTTTACACACAGACGCTTTTACACACAGACACTTTTACACGCAGACGCTTTTACACACAGACGCTTTTACACACAGACGCTTTTACACACAGACGCTTTTACACACAGACGCTTTTACACACAGACGCTTTTACACACAGACGCTTTTACACACAGAAGCTTTTACACACAGGCGCTTTTACACACAGACGCTTTTACACACAAACGCTTTTACACACAGAAGCTTTTACACACAGAACTTTTTACACACAACACTTTCACACACAGAGGCTTTTACACACAGAAGCTTTTACACACAGGCGCTTTTACACACAGACGCTTTTACACACAGACGCTTTTACACACAGACGCTTTTACACGCAGATGCTTTTACACACACACACACTTTCATACACAGAGGCTTTTGCACACAGAAGCTTTTGAAGAGTGTCTCTATATGACATTTTATGGTCCTGAACTCAAACTGTTCTGTTTTTGACATCAAGCACATGATGGCATCGAGCTCTGTTGCAAACGTTTGCAGACATTTCACTAGTGAAGTATTGTCACATGTGTCATTTACAGCATCATGGTACCGATCTTTTTTTGGCCATTTATGTGGGATTTTCCATAATAAAATGAAATAACATGTGCCATACACAGCATCATGGTACCGAGCTTTTTTGGGCCATTTATGTGGGATTTTCCATACTAAAATGAAATGACATGTGTCATACACGGCATCATGGTACCGAGCTTTTTTGATAGTTTCTGTGGGATATTCCCAGAATAAAATGAGATAACGCGTGTCATTTACTGCATTATGGTATTGGACCTTTTTTGGTGCAAACATTTGCAGACATTTCACTAGTGAAGTCTTGTCACATGTGTGATTTACAGCATCATGGTACCGATCTTTTTGGGCCATTTATGTGGGATTTTCCATAATAAAATGAAATAACATGTGTCATGCACGGCATCATGGTACCGAGCTTTTTTGGGCCATTTATGTGGGATTTTCCATAATAAAATGAAATAACCTGTGTCATACACAGAGGCTTTTACACACAAACGCTTTTACACGCAGATGCTTTTACACACACACACACTTTCACACACAAACGCTTTTACACACAGACGCTTTTACACACAGAGGCTTTTACACACAGACGCTTTTACACACAGACGCTTTTACACACAGACACTTTTACACACAGAGGCTTTTACACACAGAAGCTTTTACACACAAACACACACACACACGCTTTTATTTTACACACACACACACTTTCACACACAGAGGCTTTTACACACAGACGCTTACACAGAGACTTTTACACACAGAAGCTTTTACACCCACACACACATACACACACACACACGCTTTTCTTGTACACACACACACACTTTCACACACAGAGGCTTTTACACACAGACGCTGACACAGAGACTTTTACACACAGACGCTTTTACACACAAACGCTTTTACACACAGACGCTTTTACACACAGAAGCTTTTACACACAGACTCCTTTACACACAGGCGCTTTTACACACAGAAGCTTTTACACACAGAAAATTATACACACAGACGCTCTTACACAGAAGCTTTTACACACAGACTCCTTTACACACAGACGCTTTTACACACAAACGCTTTTACACACAGAAGCTTTTACACACAGGCGCTTTTACACACAGACTCCTTTACACACAGACGCTTTTACACACAGAATCAGAAGCTTTTACACACAGACGCTTTTACACACAGACGCTTTTACACACAGACGCTCTTACACACAAACACTTTCACACACAGAGGCTTTTACACACAGAAGCTCTTACACACAGAGGCTTTTACACACAGAAGCTTTTACACACAGGCGCTTTTACACAAAGACGCTTTTGCACACAGACGCTTTTACACACAGACGATTTTACACACAGACGCTTTTACTCACAGACGCTTTTACACACAGACACTTTTACACACAGACACTTTTACACACAGACACTTTTACACAAAGAAGCCGTTACACACAGAAGCTTTTACACACAGACGCTCTTACACAGACCCTTTTACATACAGACTCTTTTACACACAGACGCTTTTACACACAGACGCTTTTACACACAAACGCTTTTACACACAGACGCTTTTACACACAGACGCTTTTACACACAGACGCTTTTACACACAGACGATTTTACACACAGACGCTTTTACATACAGACGCTTTTACACACAGACCCTTTTACACACAGACAATTTTACACACAGACGCTTTTACACGCAGACGCTTTTTGCACACAGACGCTTTTACACACACACACACTTACACACACACACACACTTTTCTTTTACACACACACAGAGGCTTTTACACACAGATGCTTGCACAGGGACTTTTACACACAGACACTTTTACACACAAACACTTTCACACACAGAGGCTTTTACACACAGAAGCCTTTACAAAGAGACTCCTTTACACACAAACGCTTTTACACACAGACACTTTTACACACAGACACTTTTACACACAGACTCCTTTACACAGAGAGGCTTTTACACACGGAAACTTGTACACACAGACACTTTTACACAAAGAGGCTTTTACACACAGACGCTTTTACACACAGAAGCTCTTACACACAGAAGCTTTTACACACAGACACTTTTACACACAGACGCTCTTACACACAGAAGCTTTTACATAGAGACTTTTACACACAGACACTTTTACCAACAGAAGCTTTTACACACACACGCACACACACACACGCTTTTCTTTTACACACACACACAGAGGCTTTTACACACAGATGCTTGCACAGGGACTTTTACACACAGACGCTTTTACACACAAACACTTTCACACACAGAGGCTTTTACACACAGAAGCCTTTACAAAGAGACTCCTTTACACACAAACGCTTTTACACACAGACGCTTTTACACACAGACACTTTTACACACAGACTCCTTTACACAGAGAGGCTTTTACACACGGAAACTTTTACACACAGACACTTTTACACACAGACACTTTTACACAAAGAGGCTTTTACACACAGACGCTTTTACACACAGACACTTTTACACACAGACGCTTTTACACACAAACGCTTTTACACACAGACTCTTTTATACACAGACGCTTTTACACACAGACGATTTTACACACAGACGCTTTTACACACAGACACTTTTACACACACAAAAAAGCTTTTACACACAAACGCTTTTACACACAGAAGCTTTTACACACAGACACTTTTACACAGACGCTTTTACACACAGACCCTTTTACACACAAACACTTTCACACACAGAAGCGTTTACACACAGACTCCTTTACACACAGACGCTTTTACACACAGAAGCTTTTACACACAGAAGATTTTACACAAAAACAAAACTTTCACACACAGACGCTTTTACACAGAGGCTTTTACACAGAGGCTTTTACACAGAGGCTTTTACACACAGACGCTTTTACACACAACAGACACTTACACAGACACTTTGAAACACAGACGCTTTTACACACAGACGCTTTTACACACAGACCCTTTTACACACAGACGCTTTTACACACAAACACTTTGACACACAGACGCTTTTACACACAGATGCTTTTACACACAGACACTTTTACACACAGAGGCTTTTACACACAGAGGCTTTTACACACAGACACTTTTACACAGACGAAAGCGTTGCGATTGACTAAGAAAAATCGCAATTTTTCCTCAGTTTTTGACGTCCAACGTCCATTTCGTGCGAAAGGGTTACGATTGACCAAGTAAAATCGCAATTTTTCCTCAGTTTTTGACGTCCAACGTCCATTTCGTGCGAAAGGGTTACGATTGACCAAGTAAAATCGCAATTTTTCCTCAGTTTTTGACGTCCAACGTCCATTTCGTGCGTAAGGGTTGCGATTGACGACTCAAAGTCGCAATTTTTCCTCAGTTTTTGACGTCCAACGTCCATTTCGTGCGTAAGGGTTGCGCGGGACACCTCAAAGTCGCAATTTTTCCTCAGTTTTCGCAATTTTTCCTCAGTTTTTGACGTCCAACGTCCATTTCGTGCGAAAGGGTTGCGCGTGACGCTTCAAAGTCGCAACTTTTCCTCAGTTTTTGACGTCTAACGTCCATTTCGTGCGAAAGGGTTGCGCGGGACGCTTCAAAATCGCAATTTTACCTATAGGTTTTGGACGTCCAACGTCCATTTCGTGCGAAAGGGTTGCGTTTCGTGGCGCTCCGGCGGCACCGCCCCCGCCTTAAGAGAGAATAGAAGAAGAGCGAGAGGAGATCTGCAGATGTGAAGGTGTGAAGATCTAGATCTGCAGGTGTGAGGGTGTGAAGATGTAGATCTGCAGATGTGAGGGTGTGCAGATCTAGATCTTTACACCCTCGATCTGCAGATGTGAGGGTGTGAAGATCTAGATCTGCAGGTGTGAAGGTGTGAAGATCTAGATCTGCAGATGTGAGGGTGTGAAGATCTAGATCTGCAGGTGTGAAGGTGTGAAGATCTAGATCTGCAGGTGTGAAGGTCTGAAGATCTAGATCTGCAGGTGTGAAGGTCTGAAGATCTAGATCTGCAGGTGTGAAGGTGTGAAGATGTAGATCAGCAGATGTGAAGGTGTGAAGATGTAGATCAGCAGATGTGAAGGTGTGAAGATGTAGATCTGCAGGTGTGAAGGTGTGAAGATCTAGATCTGCAGGTGTGAAGGTGTGAAGATCTAGTATAACGGCTGCTTTTTTACGAAGAACCCTTCGCAGGCGCTCTCGGGAAAAACCATAATTAAATTATGTTAAATTCCACTTTTGCCAATATACTGCGGTTGTTATCCATAAATGCCATAAACCATCCATCCGATTGCCCGTCGTCGACCTCGGGTGGCGCCAACATCTCCTGGAGATGACTTGGACGTAGCGATAGCTGGGTAAATCACCATGAAAACACCACGAAATAGCATATTTAGCTGGGTAAATCATCATAAATCAGCTAAATTGGGTAAATCATCATAAATCATTGAACTAAATTTGGTAAATCATCATAAATCATCGAACTAAATTGGGGGATGTTTCATGGCTGTGTTCAATAAAGAGTTTTTTTTCCTACACATGTAATCACAATAATCATATAACATTAATATTCAGTCATCCGGGATTAGATAGAATGTGGATGTTTCATGATATTTCCCAATCTCCTCATGATCTCATCGAATTGGAATGTTGCTTGAACATGAACATGCCATATTCATCCATATTCTATGGACTTCAGGATGATTATACACACATCATGGGAAGATTATATGGTACTGATTGGTGGTTTGAGCGCCGTGTGCAACATATGATCGCAGACATGATGAATCTGCTACATCAAAGAATGTAAAAGTTATGCAATATTGGGATTAATTGGGATTAATTGGGATTGTGTGTGGTGATATTGTCAACACAAACATATCAAGACAGTATATAGGCAGGCAACATTCTACCCGATGGTCATTTTTTCTTCTTCGGGATACTTTGCGGGTTAGGGTAATCGGGGTTTTCCAGTGGCATCATTTTCTGTTTCCAGGGTTACTAAATTGTTTTTGCATCCACTTTGTTGGTCCTGCTTCAAGAACAAACAAAAACAAAAGTACTCGCCAATTCACGAAAACACAAACCAACACAATAAAGAACATGACAAACAACCCAATTCTACAATCTATATTCTACATATTTCAGCCAAACGGATTTTGGCATTCCATTTGAACATCAAACCCGGTGCGTGTTCTAGCCAAAAAACTTCCAACCAACGAAAACACGTGTATATATATTATTATATAAGTATGTGTGTATATATATAATCTGTCTATGTATATATATATATAGATATACATATTATACATAATTTTACTTGTATACACATATATATATATATATATATACATACATCATATTTATGTTCCCACAATGTTCCCAAGATTGTCCAAAGATGCCGAGGTTAAAACAGCTTTTCTCCGGCCTCTGGGAGGTCAAGGTCCTTCACCTACAGGGCACCGAAGAAGTAGGGGGCACCCTATGATGGGGTGATGATATCTTCCCTTTCAGTATGGAACCCTGATTCTCATCCAGTGATAAATATATGGAACCTTTATCGAATACCATATTCTCTTCCCTTTCAGTATAAATGTATGGAACCTTCATGGAATCTGTTTTTTTTTAGTACTATCTGGGTATTTATCATAGCCATGGAAAATCAGGATTTTTAATAGGTAAACCATCTATAAATAGGCCATTTTCCATGGCTATGTCAAATAACCAGAGGGTATCTTCCTTTTTAGTGAAGCATAAGTAATCATTTGCCATCACTGAATCACCAAATCCGTGTGTCAGCCTTCGGTTCATCATTTCTGCGACCTACTGACAGGGCACGCTTAACCCCATTGTTGTGGATTGGGTTGGCTAACTCAGTCTGGCTGTTTCCACCAAATAGAACTGGCTGTAGAAAATGGATCTCGCACCGACTTTTCCAGGTTTTACCCCAAACCTGAAAACCCATAGCCAAACATAACAACCATTAATAACCCATACATACGATGGTTTCTAGCTTTATAAAACAATATGCATGTTGGCATCACTGTTCTTATCGACGGTTTCCACCGAAGTCCTCATCATCCCATGGTTGAATTGAAGCCGCCAATCACTTAGCCTCCGGTTATGAACCAAGTAGTGAGCTGGAATATCAAAAGATTATAGCTAGGTAAAACATGGTAAAACGTCATAAATTCATAAATCATCAAACTAAATGGACCATGGCTTGCATAGCTATGTTCAATAACCAGAAAGTAGAACCTATTATACATCCCACTATATCCCCACCATTGTCATCACCACATTGAATTAATCATTTTCCCAAGGAAACCATAGCTTTCCCTCATCTACCATCTGGTCATTTAACATAGCCATGGAAAATGGCCCATTTATAGATGATGTCCCCATTAAAACCTCCATTTAAAAGGGATTTTCAATGGCTTGTTAAATAACCAGATGGTATGTTGGTTTACCCCAGGGTAAACCCACAAAATTTGGACCACACCACCAAACTACAAGAGGATCTTCCCCTGCCTCTGAAGCTTCAAGCCCCTCTGACCAGGATAGAAGCGCTGGAAGCGAAGCCTGGGAAGCGAACATACACCACTTAGCTCGATTATTTTTCCAGCTAGGAACAGCTTCAAGTAAGAGGATTTTCCAGCATGCCATGTTTAATTGCAGTGGCTAAGTGGATATCAAATGATCAACAAACGTACAATATGCATCACAATATGCATCAACTTGTATAATGCTGGCTTTGTGTGTGAAAACAACAAAAAACCTGTTGGATTTCAGCGCTTTGTATTCCATTCCAGCTCAGCCTGTTGAGTACAACAGCACCAAAAAATGCTGAAGCTGTCTCATTATCTATGATTGGGATATACACAGAAGCATAAAGAAAACAAAAGGGTGATATCACTACGAACAAGCGGGATAATCCACTCGTTTCTCTGACTGGGTACCGACTGGGTACCTCCAGATCCACTGGTTAATCAATGTCCCATTGTTTCCATATACAAAATGCAACATCCCATGTTCAAACACATCGATGACCTCATCTGGTAGTCAGAGACAGCATCCACTGGTATGAGCAGGTGATGTTTATGTGATCCTCAAACGCAGTGATTTGGGTTTCATCATGTTGCATCCCCCTTCCTGCATACATTGCTGTTCAGTGGTGCAGATCGAACACTAAATAATTCAAACTAACTAGCCGTCGAGATCTCTGACGTTGTGCCGTTATGATTTCTATGTTCCCTGTCATAGGTGCCTCTCGCTTGGGTGTGGCGCTCTTGGGTGTGGCCTGGAAGATAAAGGCGGTGTGATGATCAAGTTGAAGACAAAGGCAAACACAATAGCATATTCACTATTGATCATTATAACATGAGTAAATGACATAACCAATAAGGTAAGTACAATAAATAATGTAATTAGACTTAGAACTGGCTTACTTTACAAATAGTTATGTTATGGTACTATAAGTTTAATTATCAGTGGTATTGATTATTTTAACATAATTATGGTTAGATTGTAGGAACATGACTTATAGTCACATAACATATCTATACATATCTAAGGTAACTTTGATTACAAATATATGACACTCAAAGTACTACAATACTGATAATGGAAATGATAGTAGTATGATTATTGATATTCAGGTATTGATATGATAGTAGTATTGCAACAATAGTGTATGTATACGTATGTTTAATGATCGTACCAAAGAAACAAAGTACTGGAATGGTCCGGTTGCATAACAGTGATTACATAATCATAATCGATCATCAGGCTACTAAAGTTCTGACAGCTAAGACAATAAAACAGCAATCACTAACCAAAAAATAAATATCAAATAACAACGGTTATCATTGTGTTGTTCAGCAATGCTACTGTCAACATTACGGTTAGGATCAAACATTAATTACTACGTAGCAGTCAGATGTATTGGCCACATCAGTGTTTTCAAGTTTAAGGTATCTATAAAGTTGCTAAGGTTGCTATCACTATTGTTCTCATTCAGATTACTATTCAAATCAAAGTTATTCACGGTGATGAACAGTGAGTGAAGCAGTTCAATCATTACCAGTGCGTGTAGTTCGGTTCAAGGTATTCCGCTGATAATTATGCATCAAAAGGACATGATAGGAATTTTGGAAACACAAACGCAATTGTCTAGAAAAAGATGATCCATCAAGCTAATCAAACTACCAATGTTTTGTTTCAAATCAAAAAACGTACAAGTTAGATACAATCCGGTATTTTTTTAGCTGGCAGTTGAAAATCCAAATCCCCTGTTTTTACCCTGATCCATTTCATTCTAGTGTATTCTCCCATAAACAAAGGATGGTTCCTATCACATAAACACGTGTATCGTTAGAAGCTGAAGCAACATGACCTTTACATACCTTTACCCTCTGGTAAACTAACACAACTATGGAAAATCACCAAATTAAAGCTGGGTAAATCCACTATTTCGACTGGGCCATTTTCACTAGCAAGCTGTTAGTTTACCAGTGAGTTCCACGTGGGAAATCCGCCCGTCTATGGCGTTTGTTCTTTTCGTGGATTTCCCAGCCACGTTTGATTTTCCATGGGCACGTAGAAATATACACTTGGCGAATGGAAACCAATCTGCTTCTTCACCTGGAGGTGGTATTACCCTCTGGTAAATTAACAGGTTGCTATTGAAAATTGTCCAATCGAAATAGTTGATTTAACCCGTCAAAATATGCTGATTTTCCATAGCTATGTTAGTTTACCAGAGGGTACCAACGAATCCACTATCATAAATCAGTCTATAAATCCCATTCAAAACCCTTTTTTGTTGGTTAAATCCCCATTTTCCTATGGTTTTCTCAGAATCATTGAGTATCGCCCAAGGGGTTCACATCTTCGGTGGGCTGGGAAATCATAGGAGATGTCCATGGACTTCCCAGCCATGTCTGATTACTAGATTGTATTAGCATGTATTACATGTATTAGCCAATATTAGATCAATATCCCTTCATGAATATATATATTTATATTTATTTATTTATTTATATATTTAAGTATATATATATGTGTAGATCAATCAATAAGACCGCCCCGTGGTCGCGACGTCCGCGACGTCCGCGGACCTTGTCCGTCCGCTCCGTCTTCTCTGAGATGGGGGACCTCATCGGCCAACGATGGACATGGACTGGATCGGAGCGGGAAGGATGGTTCATCTACTTCAAAACAGCAAAAAAACGCTAATTGTATATTCATTTACGTGCATATATTTGTATATATATATATTATGTTGTTTATTTTTATATATATAATGATGATAAATGATGGTAAAACAGCAACAAGAAACTAATGATGGTAAATGCAATAGGCCACCCATAAAAAAATGATGATTTATAGCACCCACAGAAATGGTGATTTTGGGAATGGTTTACTATTGTGTTAACCACATCAATTGTGTATTCATATGTATCTGCAACTAAAAGTGTACACACTTACCTTACATACATGCAAATGTTATATATCTGTAAATATATTATATATATATATAAATATATATATATTCATTTAATGTACTGCTGAGAACAATTTTCCGATGTTCTCTAAGGTGGCGCGCTGTCGATATGGTGATCTCTCCATCTGTACTGTTTTGCATTCCGAATATCCAATTCTACTTGTCTGTGTCATAAATGTTTTCACACTTGACGTATTTTATGCACATAAGGATGACAAATTTACAAACACAAGGAAGAGTACAACACAAAGCGCAAACATTAATTTAAACAAAACATATTGATATTTTATGATCTATCTATGGTAACCGACAGAATTATGGAAAAAAAAACGTTCAACTTAGACAGGCGGCGCCTGCGTCCGATTTTTCCATAATTGGATTTTTCCCATAAGGGTTCAAAATATCCCGGAAGTGATCCGAACCTTTTTTTTTCCCATAATTTTTGGAGGTGGCCATTATTTCCATAATTGATTTTTCCTGTGAAATCAGGGGGCTAGGGCAGATTGACCAGTTTTTCCACAAGTATTTTTTCCATAATTAATGTTTGGGGCTCCACCTGTTGGACATGTCATGGATCCACAATTCAAACCCGTTTTTTTTTTTGGGTTATGGAAGCGCATGGTGAAATGGGGTTTACATGTACATACCCCGTATACATGATATTATGTATATCAATGGCAGGCTTTAGGGACATATACCAGATCTTTAGACACATATTTTCTATAATTCAATATTCCCCCTTAAAATGCATTCAAATTGCCAACATCACATGATATTATGTATATCAATGGAAGACTTAGGGGCATATACCAGATCTTTAGACACATATTTTCTATAATTCAATATTCCCCCTTAAAATGCATTCAAATTGCGAATCGATGGACATACAGTCACCGACAGAATTATGGAAAAAATATGGAAACAATAATTATGGAAAAAAAAAGTTCGTAACTTTTCTATCATAGACAGGCGGCGCCTGTAAATTGAAACGTTTTATTTTTTCCATAATTCTGTCGGGTGCTGTATAGACGGTTTTTTAGGCATGCATACGCGTAAATATGTATATATAAATATATAATATATATCACATGTGATTTTGGTCATTTTCTGATTTTATGATGAAACACGTCTCACAAGCAATCTGTTGCTCAAATATGTACATCTAAGAAACCATATTCTATGTCGCTCTTCCGCACATTTGTATGTACAAAACCAATTTCCTGATTTCCTGAGTCTTCCGCATGGCTCCTGCCACGCCGCACTTCCGCTGGCGACCTGCTGAATGGGGGTGGTTAAATCGCCAATGCGTTCAGGTATTTCCACCACAAACCTAACAATTAAACATAATGTTTGTATCACCTATATTTCTAAGCCAACTTATATAGCCTATATGGATCCAGCCGTACCTTCTTAGGAAGTATTTGCGGTATGATTTTGGGGTTAAGTACCTTCAAAGTGTTTGGATCCAAAGGGACAAATGTTGCTACACCAGTTTATGTACCTATCTGCGGGTGCCTTTCTTGTAGGAAATGTGGATTTCATATGATTTCATCATCATCAAGTTCGCATACTGTTGCGTGCTTGCCCGGAAATCAAACCTGACTGGAGGGATTTCTGTGGTTTAGTGTGAACCAGTGATCCGAAACACGACAAGCTGCTGGGGTAAACAAACCATGCTGGGGAAAATGGGTCCATTTAGTCTGATGGCTTATCTATAAAACATGGGTGCATTGTTCATTGCAAACTGTGAAATTAGAGGCTAATCATCATCTGTAAACCAAGGATTCGTCATTTCCAGCTAATTTTTTGCCAAGGGAAAACAGCCACAGCCGGGCAAACATCCATCAGAATTTCTGATTTTTTGGATTCATCGTTGTCATTCGAAAAAACCATGGAGCGAAATGGCTTCAAAACTGATACCCTCTGGTAAACTAACATAGCTATGGAAAATGACCATGTTTAATGGGAAAACTCACTATTTCTATGGCCATTTTCAATAGCTATGTTAAATTACCAGAGGGTAATTCCCGAAGTGTCAATCTATTATATGTCCATTGCTCGAGTAACATGATGTAACATGTTCTTTTCTGCGAAAAATCTTGACCCGTGCCCATTGTTGTCCACACCTGGCTATTGGGAATTATGAATGCAAATTTTCAACATACATCGACAAGATGGATAATACACCATGCCATAGCATGTACACCAAAATGCTGCGCGTCTGTCCCGAATGTGTCAATCTAAATGGGTCATCTTTTGCGAAAACCTTGGAAACCAAACATGTGGCCATCTGCAGACTCCCAATCTGAAACAAACTTTGCCGGAGATGTTTTTCACGTCAAGCCTCCTCCAAGAATAAGTTGTCAATCTTAAGAGTGAATTTTCTGGTTTCTGTCTGGTTTCAGTGTGTTTTTTTCATTGCCAATCAGCCAGATACCCTGCAAAAAATGACAAAAATTCTTTGCTGGCCATTGATACCAAAAGACTATATAAAGGATTGAAGTATCATATTATTGAAGATTGAATGATATTATTATCAAATATTCACCATCAAATGTCTGTTGGTTAAACCATCCATGTAAGATTGACCTAGTTTTGCTGGGTCACCCTTTGTCACCGAGGAATGGCCATTTCCGGCTACTGGGTCAAGGGCATCCACTAGCAATGCCTGGTTTTTTTCAGCCACCCATGGCCCAAAAATCTGAAAGTTGCAGCAACCATAATATATGTCTGGTTCGTGGTTGACCTACCCCTCTGAAAATATGAGTTCGTCAGTTGGGATGATTATTCCCAATAGACGGAAATATAAAAAATGTTCCAAGTCACCAACCAATATGTACCATCTGGTTATGACTAACAGTTCGCCATAGAAAATCACCATGCTGTTAAGAACGGTAAACCATATATTTCTATGGGCCATCTATACCATGGCTATGTTAAATAACCAGAGGCTATATTTTAATGATCGTTAATGACAGCAGCAGCATATCTGGCTGCATGATCACAATTCACCAACCTGAAATTAGGTCGTTTCAGGATGACGCCGCCTTAGCATTGCCAATCTTAGCATGTTCCCATCATTTTCCGCTTTTAAATTCTGGTTGTAATGTGGTTAAAACAACAATAAACAATCCCCAGTCATCACCATATTTTTATAGGTGGTATAAACTTACCATTCCCAGTCATGGGTGGTTTATGGCATTGTTTTACCCACATTAATCACTATTAATCACCATATTAACCACCATGAATCACTATTAATCTCATGTGGTTTATTATTGTGTTACCCACATTAATCACTATTAATCACCATTAATCAGCATTAATCACTATCAATTCACTATTGGCAATTGATGGTAATGGGGATGGCACTATTGTTTTACCCACATTATACCGGTGAATCATTGCCGCCCGCCTGGAACGTCCCAGAAGCTCACAGCCTGGCTGGGCTCTGGCTGGGCCCTGTTCGCTAAAAAAAAAACGAATTTGTACATAAAAAAATAGTTACAAAACATACATATATGTGGTATATATGTGGTACATGTACATATGTACAAACAATTACAAGCAGATATACAAACACACATACACACATACATAATCATACATACATGCCAAGGTACATACACCAACCAAGTTGCAACTCAATTGCAAAACCCGCGTGGCTGAGTGCACTGATCGCTTGCCGGATCGGCATCTTTTTAACCCGCCCCCTTTCCATATGGTGCTCTTCAGGAGAACTCCATGAGCGAAAAGTTCCGCTATGTATCAGAAGAGCCAAAGTCGTTGCAAGTGCTCATCTGGATGCAAAGCAAGGAGATCGCATTGTCGTTTGACTGGCAACTGCAATGTCTCAGGAAATCTTCATATTCTTTGATCCGGCAAGTCAGTGATGAAGTCCGTTAAAACTATCGTCCCCAGTTCCAAGTCCGTAAGTTTCGTATGGTCTTGTTGTTGGTGCAATATGGTGCATTGCAGTGGTTAAAAAAAACGCGAATTGCCAGTCCATAATAATGAACTCTGTTTCAACAACACGATGATGCCGCAAATCTCAGGAAAAAAGTGTTCAATGTTGCATAGGATAGCATTGTCTCCGATTCTGTCAATTGACCATTGGGTCGATTGACCTATGCAATCGCCTGGTGTTCACATCAAAATGATCGTAGTAATGGATGTGAAGAACAGCAAGTCATTAGTTGGTTTATAAACCCCATTAACTATAGTTATAAGTTATAAGTTATATAAGTATCGCACACCATAGTTATTGGAAATATATTCAGCATATGAATTCTTTTAAAATGGTGGTTCCGCTTTGTATGGATTGATCCATGACCATTTTGATGCATGACTAACTACATTACATGACCACTGTATGGACTAAATCAAAAAGGTTTAATACACTCACATGACTAACTACCAGTACTAAGTACCAAGCAAACAATGTTTGAAAGATGCGTTTTGTTTAATTCAAAACTATCCCATTGATATGTGTGGCCACAACAAAAACATAATTGACAGATGACTCAAATTGAAAACATTGCAACCATTAACCTTTGGAAAGCAACATTGAAAACAAACAGCTAGACACTAGCCCTTGCATTCAGAGGCAAAAACTGGATATATGATTGGGTTGAATTAAAACAAACAGATAATGATTCATCAACTTCCAAAGTTCGGTCATTCTTAGGCTAGCTACCCTTTCCAAGAATCAAACCATCATTTGCATTGACGTCGTGACACATCGTTGTTATTCATCCAAATATATATATATGTATTATTCATTAATCTGAGTAAATCTACGCTCCAATATTCGTTGCTCATTCACCCACGGATAATTTGAGATTTATATGCTCATCAACTGGACTATGCCATGGGTTTGAACATATATATATATAGTACCCCAAATGTACCCATATGTCGGATAAACAACGGTCTATACTGTGCCTATACTCAAACATATTCCATACGAAACCTCATTAAACACCATTAATTAATGTGGTAAACCCAATGCCACAAACTTTTACTGGGGATGTTTTACACCCTTGGGTTTACCACATGAATGAAATCAGCAATAAGTGAAACTATATCAGATCATATTCCCATCATATTCCTATTAGAACCCAATAAAAATCCGTATTTTTTGATGTGGCAAAATCATCACACATCGCCATGAAATTCCATTAAACCCCATTGAATGCCAATAAAATCTATACATTTCCCGACACCATGGGTTGCTCCATCTCTCCCCATTTCCCAACTTCTCCCTGCCTCCTGGAGTTTTGCCTGGCCAAGTGAAGGACCCAGGGGGAAGTCTCGTGGTTTGTCATTGATATTACGGTGTAGTAAGTATCTTATCAAAAGAATTTTAGTCAGAGAACTCAAAGAACTTCCGAGTTACGAACGATGGTCATGGTTAGCATTCACACCATCATGTCAACGACATCATCATGTCAACCACCCATCTTCAAGTATTTGGGAAGTGTAACAGTTTGGAGGCGTGTGTGAATTCACGGGTGAAAGCACTCTCAGGCGCGAAACCGTATGTTTTTTTCGGGTAACGTGGCTCCTGAAGTAAGGCGTCTGTTTCCGCAGGTGCGGGCCTCGATCTGGGAAAGTTGTCGACAAAAAGTGCAAAGGACTGTGGCGAGAGCTCGATTTGCACTTCAAAACCGCTAAAAAACTGACAGCCACAGAGCACTTTTGGATGATGAGGTCGGCAAAATGTGCACAAGACCGTAGCGAGCGCTCGGTTTCGCAAAAAACACACACAAAAAACTGGCATGTTCGGAGCAGCTTCAAAAAGTCCGCGCTGTTGACGCTGCTCGAATGTTGGTCGAATCGATTCGGTGCGACCCTATGCGGGTTTACAACTGGCTGTGACAAAACACATTGGCACGGCTGCGCGCAGCAAAGCATTCAGTGATGCTGCGTTGTAACAGCTGCGCGAAAGGTACAGTAACTCTTGACCAAAGTGCTGCTCTTAATGTACTTTGTGCTATGCAGGATTGCAGCTGGAGGTTGCTAAACACATTGTAACAACTGCGCGAAGAGAAGAAGTGGGTTGCAGAAGCTACAGAAGACGTAGCTGGGGAGCAGCTCAGAGCAGGGTCAGAGAAGAAGTAGCCCAGATAAGAGGCCGCTCAGAGAAAATGTCGCTGAGAGAAGTGGTACCTCAGCGCAGAGGTCGCTCAGTGAACAAATACCTCAACAACCCATCCATGCATTGATACATCAATCCATCCATTATATAATTCATTCATTCATTGGTTCATTGATTCACCAACTCACTGAAATTCATCCGTTTATCCATTCACTGACTGATTCATTGAGTCATCGACTCACTAAAGCCCATGCATTCATTGAGTCATCGACTCAACAGCTCATTCGTTCATTGATTCACTGATCATTGGCTCATCCATTCATTAATTCACTCATTCATTGATTCATTGACTCACTGCGGCAGCTGAGTCATCGATTCATTTTTTCATTGGTTCATTGACTCACTGAATCATCGGTTCATTGATTGATGAATTGAGATTCACTGAGTCATTGATTCACTGAGCCATTGAATCATTGATTCATCGACTCACTAACTCACTCATTCATTGATTCATTGGTTCCTCAATTGGTTCAGTTGTGCATGGATTCTTTCATGTCATTTCATTCGCATCTCAACCGCCATTTGCTCATTCGTTGATGAACCTCAGAACTTCAGTTCATCACTTCTGCATCTTAAAAGCGTTCCTATAGGCCACTGATGTCGTATACAAACCAGTTCTTATTGAAACTTCCGCCCCGGCGCGGGCCGGGCACAATCTGGTAAATTAACCGATTATAATGATTAATCGTGGTTTTATGGGGAAAACACTGGAAATCATCAAACTCATCTACAGACCAGCCATGTTCCACTGCTATGTCAGATTGCCAAAGGGCAATTCAAATCATCTCAGACAAGGAAAGAAACAAGTCGATCATGAAACAATGACGCGCTACTTGATTCAACTGCGTCAAATGAAACATGTCTCAAAACATATTGATTCTAAATGAGTCTAAGACTTTGGAATTACCCAACATTGCCCAACAGATTACAAGGTGGTGCCCCCCAAGTTATAAATTGGTTATAATACCATTAACGTTCTATAGATATATCACCAACAAAAACCAAGTTATTGGACTTATAAACCAACTTAGCTAACGAACTGGGGCACCACCCTGTATCAGCATTGTTCAAACGTCTTGCAGTCTCTCGGGGTGTTTTCTTGAGGCGTGCTTGGATTGACCTGGACTGGTGACGACTAGTGGATTGAAACATTTTTCTTCCTCCACTTCCGAGACAAAGCTCAGCAAACGTTTTATCCAGCGTACGAGACGTTGGTCATTTTTCATCGTTTGCTGTTCCTCGCACTTCTGAACAACAAGCTCTGCTGCTTCAGAAAGAAATGTAACTCGCACTGGGAATTGCTCTGGACAGGTCTGTTCACTGTTCATGTACAGGATATCAAAGTGTGTCACTTTGACCTCCTCATATTTTTGCCGAAACGTTGAAACTCAACGATGGCTGGACGACGCTCCTGGAGAACTTTGAAATTGAATACCAACCATCCGCTCTCCATTTAGTTCGGGGATTTCCTGGCGAGCCATGTTTGATTATCCCATGATGCCATTAAATCCCAATAAAATCCCAATACAATCCCAATAAAGCCAATAAACTCCAATTAAATCCCAATAAAATACAAATTAAATCCCAATAAAGTCCCAATAACATCCCAATAAAATACAAATGAAATCCCAATAAAATCTCAATAAATTCCCAATAAAAACACAATAACATCCCAATAAAATACCAATAAAATCCTAATAACATCTCAATACAATCCCAATAAAATCCCAATGACATACCATAGAATCCAATAAAATCCCAATACAATCCCAACAAAATCCCAATGAACTCCCATAAAATCCCAATAAAATCCCATGACATCCCAATAAAATCCCAATCGAATCAATACAATCCCAATAAAATACGAATAAAATACCAATAACATACCAATAAAATACCAATTACTTCACTTCGAATGATCCCCACCATGGCATTTATACATTTTCTTACTGGCAAATGTTCTGGCATTCTATCTGACATATCTTCTTGCATTCTATCTGGCATTCTATCTGGCATATCTTCTGGCAGATGTTCTGGCATATCTTCTGGCATTCTATCTGGCAAATCTTCTGGCATTCTATCTGACATATCTTCTGGCATTCTATCTGGCATTCTATCTGGCATATCTTCTGGCATATGTTCTGGCATATCTTCTGGCATTCTATCTGGCAAATCTTCTGGCATTCTATCTGACATTTTTCTGGCATTCTATCTGGCATTCTGTCTGACATTCTATCTGGCATACCTTCTGGCATATGTTCTGGCATATCTTCTGACATTTTTTCTGGCATATCTTCTGGCATATCTTCTGACATTCTATCTGGCATATCTTCTGACATTTTTTCTGGCATTCTATCTGGCATACCTTCTGGCATATGTTCTGGCATATCTTCTGGCATATCTTCTGACATTCTATCTGGCATATCTTCTGACATTCTTTCTGGCATTCTATCTGGCATATCTTCTGACATTCTATCTGGCATATCTTCTGACATTTTTTCTGGCATTCTATCTGGCATACCTTCTGGCATATGTTCTGGCATATCTTCTGGCTTATCTTCTGGCATTCTATCTGGCAAATCTTCTGGCATTCTATCTGACATATCTTCTGGCATTCTATCTGGCATATCTTCTGGCATTCTATCTGACATATCTTCTGGCATTCTATCTGACATTCCATCTGGCATATCTTCTGGCATTCTATCTGGCCGTTGAGGTCCGGCAGTGCCCACTGGGATCTGGAGCTCGTGGTTGAGGTCCGGTAGTGCCCACTGCGACCTGGAAGTCGCGGTTGAGGTCCGGCAGTGCCCACTGCGATCTGGAAATCGCGGTTGAGGTCCGGCAGTGCCCACTGCAACCTGGAAGTCGCGGTTGAGGTCCGGCAGTGCCCACTGCGATCTGGAGCTCGCGGTGGAGGTCCGGCAGTGCCCACTGGGATCTGGAGCTCGCGGTGGAGGTGCGGGAGTGCCCACTGGGATCTGGAGCTCGCGGTGGAGGTCCGGCTGTGCCCACTGGGATCTGGACTGCGAGGAGGAGGACGAGGAGGAGATGGAGGAGGAGGCGGAGGAGGAGGAGAACAGCTCTGATAAAATCTAACAACCCTCACCTGGCAGGTGGGGAATAAAATCCAAATATAAACTAAAAATAACCCAATAAAATCCCAATACAATCCCAACAAAATCCCAATACAATCCCAACAAAATTTCAATAAAATCCCACTGAAATCCCATGAAATCCCAATAAAATACCATAAAAATCCAATAAAATCCCAATACAATCCCAACAAAATCCCAATGAAATCCCATAAAATCCCAATACAATCCCAATAAAATCCCAATCAAATCCCAATGAAATCCAAACCCCAATAAAATACAAATAAAATGCAAATAAAATTTCAATAAACCCAATAAAACCCCAATGAAATCCAAACACCAATAAAATACCAATAAAATCCAAATAAAATCTCAATAAACCAAAAAAAAACAATAAAATCCCAATGAAATCCAAACCCCAATAAAATACCAATAAAATCCAAATAAAATCTCAACAAAATCCCTATAAAATCCAAAAAAAACAATAAAATCCCAATACAATCCCAGCAATATCCCAATGAAATCACATAAAATCCCATAAAATCCCAATACAATCCCAATAAAATCCCAATGAAAAAATCCAAACCCCAATAAAATACCAATAAAATCCAAATAAAATATCAATAAAATCCCAATAAAATCCCAATAAAATCCAAATACAATCCCAACAAAATCCCAATGAATCCTATAACATCCCATAAAATCCCAACAAAATCCCAATAAATTCCCATTGAAATCCCAATAAAACACCATAAAATCGCCAAAAAAACACCAATGAAATCCCATGAAATCTCAATAAACCCCCAATAACATACTAATAAAATACCAAACAAAATCCCAATAAAATCCCAATAAAATCCTATGAACTCCCCATTTCGCCCCTTTCTTCCACACACCTCTAGCTGCGCAGTGGTTTCAGCGGCCAGTTTCTCTTCCTCCAGCGGCTCACCATCAACAAATGACATGTTCAAGGGCAACACACTGACGGATTTATAGATATACATTGCATATATAGAGAATACACATTCTATCTGTATATGCTACATTTATGAATTATATATATATTGTGTATTTATAGTGTATTATTTATATTTATATATAATACGTATATATACACACACGTGAAGAATAGACAAAAACGAGCTAGCAAACACGGGGATACTTGATTGGAACAGATATGTTTGGACATGTTTGGACTCATGATTATATAATGGTGAGAAAGTGTTTCCCATCCCAGACGCACCTGCGATATATCAATCCAGTGTGAGCCCCTGAGTTAACCAATATCAATGCTCAGCAGGAACTACTGTAAAGCTAGGCATGTAACAAAGATACAAGCATACGCACTGTTGGGATTGCAAGTCTCTCTGAAGTACCCAATTGGTACTTCCAAAATGGGAGCCCCGAGGCACTGCAATGAACGTGCAGAGGGGGAAAAGAAAACTGACAGTTGCTATGGTAGCAAAGCCAGGAGTAAGAGGCAGAAGGCCAACCAGCATACACACTGGCAAGCACACAAAGAAAGTGATCTTATATGATATTATGATATTGTTAATCAACGAGCAGATAATTCCGCCTGACACCAACAGACTTTGGGGATGTCATGTGCCGCGCTGGCACTGAAGGTTCTGTCATGGCACCCTTAGATGGCATCAAGAAAACATATTGAAGATTGTTTAAGCACCAAAAGTGGGGATATAACAACTACATACATATATATAAATGTATATATATATATATTCATAGTATGGATCAGTATGGGATTTACCGGATATATAACCAAAGTGCATAAACAAATTGCAGTATATGCCTCATACGGCCAACTCTATAGGAAACATTTTGATAAATCATGGGCTTTGAAGTATACTTTCCGACCGTTGTGCCGGTGGCTAAGTCTGGCTAAGTCGCCGGTGGGCGAGTCTGTGGGCCCAGTTGGTCAAAAAAAAAAATCCAGTTCTCGAGTCTCGTCCAAGAAAAAACTCTGCAACATCACCCATAGGATCCATGTATGGTATAATGCTAGCATTGGGGGTATATTGATGGTAAATGTTACCATATATAGCATACATGGATCCTATGGGTCAGAACAACAACTCTTGACATCCATCTCTTGACCCCTATGTTTCTTGGTGAATAACCTCCACAAAAGTAGGACATATTGGCATTTCCTGAAATGAGGGTATCCATTTTGATGGGAATTTCCATGATAAACCATCCAGCTATTGGGGTACCCCATTTATAGACATCTCCATATCAGGACATCTTGAACAAAAAACCTGACACGAACCCATCTCTATCGGCTCCCGTGCAGCTCGAATGGAATTGGTCCGTTCAAAGATCTCGCTGAGGGGTTTCAGCCTGGCTCCGTTCCGTCCGAACTCGGAGATGCTTCGGAGCTTCGGATTTTCCAAGTAGAAATATATTGTTTGATTGGAGTATATTCATGGGATCCATGCTACCATATATAGCATACATAGATCCTATGGGTTATAGTTACCCTCTGGTTAGTTAACAGTTCGCCATGGAAAGATCCACCATGTTTAATAGGTAAACCATGTATAAATGGGCCATCTATACCATGGCTATGTTAAATAACCAGAGGGTAGTATTATTGGAGTAGAACCAAGTATGGTTGGTTTAATCTACAGAAAAAATCCCCATCAACCACTATCAATAAATATGATTGACTGTCCATGTAAGTCTACATGTATATATATATAATTTACAATTCAATACAATTCAACTCATATTTGCATAAACCATCATACTCCTACGTATCTCATAATGTCTGGGAAAAAAACTGGGTAGTATATACCGTATATACCCGTATTTATGACACCATGTGGCTCCAATGGAACCAACGAGGCGGTGTTGAGGTTCCGAACCTCGCCCTGCAATTCCTGTTTTCCAATTTCGAACATAAGCGAAGTCGATTCGTGAATGGGTGTAAAGTGTCAATTGTCAACTTTGTTTTTGGTCATTTCGTTGAAGATTACAATCGAAATCAATCGAACAAAAAAAACAAAGCACCAAATTCATTCTAACCGTGGCGCTTATAAATTTCTGTGTATTTTCAGTAGGCCAACAAAGTCAACCACTCAACAGATTTCTCCAAAACACTACCCCCTTGTTTTCAAATCCTCTGGTTGATCACAACTCTGAAGCTATTGAAAATGGCCCATAGAAATAGTTGATTTACCTATTATAAATGGTGATGTTCCATAGTTTTTTTTGTATGTTTACCAGAAGGTCTACCGATTTATTTGTTTTTATTTTTTTCATGTAATCTGACGTTTCTTTTTCTTGTGGGCTACACTTCAATGGACCCTCCAGTTCTTACAAAAGAGTATACCACGTTTTCAGAGTCACTCTAAATAGCCCAACCAACGTTTACCCTGGTGCGCCTGGTGTCTGTGAACTTTGGAAACATCTCCTGAGGAATTCACAGGGGAACAGGGCCCTATACGAGATGATGGAACAGCAATTTCTACTGAAATACCATCTGGTAATCAAAATTTGGCAATAGGAAATCCCCCATATATTGATGGCTTTTCCATTCAAACCTCAATTTAAAGGGAATTGTCCATGAATCCACGTTTGATGACCAGATGGTTTTTATTGGAATTCCTCCCTTGAGATTTGCTCATGTTGCCATGATTTGAATCTCATGAAGATGGTAACTGTTTTCCAAGAGGCTACCCTCTGGTAATGACTAACAGTTTGCGAACTTGAAGCCATGGCCCATAGAAAGTTCGTTGATTTACCGAACCTGAAGATGGTGATTTTCCAGTTCGCAAACTGTTAGTTTACCAGAGGCTATCTGAAAGGGCCGGCCTTTTCTTGGCAGTGAGTTCAGTTCCACAGGGATTTTTTAACGTGACACCGATATATCACTCTTCCAATCCTCAGTGAGTTGAACCGGTGTCGACACACAACGAACGACACGTTGTTTAACCAATCGAATTCCATGAGATTTGATCAAACACATGGACGAAAACCACATGAGTGTGGGACAAACACAACACTCATTACGCCACTGTCACTGCTTGGTGGTTTCAAACCCGTAAAAGAACACTTAAACAACGACGTCTCGTCGGGTTGGTCATCACAACTCTCTGCGCAGAACAAAACCATCTCCGACGCAACTTGGTTGATCGTAGACCGCCATGTCTATGGACATGTTTGACAAAGCCATTTTATCCTTACTCTTGCTGCAACTGCTGAAGTCCCTAACTTTTTCTGATGAAATTTCGCCTTTGATAAAACTATGTAAAACCCAGTTTAAGGACAAAACCATACAAAACCATATTGTGCCAGGGTCAAAACATGGTACTGCAATGTACAGCAAATGGTTTGTGGTCATCCCAGTCCGTGGGAAGCTCATGGAATCCCGATAAAAATGAATTGATCATTCTCATCAGAACTGTGTACATCATCCAGGTTCTGATTCTAGTTCGTTACATACATATCCCATTACATCAACATCTCCATTCATATCCCATGAGTGCATATTAAATCATATGATATATTCATAAGATGGAAATCCAGAAATCCCATTGCAATCATTACATATGTGAACATATTATTTAGTATTATTAGATATCCCATATTCATATCCCCCAAAAAAAACCTGCGGCGTTTCTCTGTTTGTCTCCAAGATTCCACAAGTTGTTTCAAGTCTGGTTCCACTTCTGAAGAACGCCTGCTGCAGCGACAAGGAGCAACCTGGATTGTCATGGGCCTCTCTGTCATTAACTATGTGAATTACACCCAAAAGATCCTCAATTTTTGGACTTCCTCATTGAAGAAGATGAATAATCCTTGCAAAATGGTGAGTCGCTTCAAAATCTAATCATTTTAATAATATTGATCGATACATCAATTGCAAGCCGGTTGATATCAAAGATGAACCCACACTATTAATGAGTGCTGTGTAGACAAGGCCGCATCAATTAACATTGCAAGGTCCCTGCCATGAACAAAAGTTGGACACAGCTCACATTTCAAACGGCCATTGAGTTGTGTGGCCTTGTTTTGGTTTCCACCCATGATTGTTTGATGACTTACAAATACTTACGGGGTGTTTCGAGGACTGGGCCCGTAAAAAAAAGTGACGACTAAATATCTCTGCAACAGAATCGGGTGCTTTGTCTATTCTTTGGGGTACCCTCTGGTAATTTAACGCTATTGAAAATGGCCATAGAAATAGTGGATTTATCCATTGAAAATGGTGATTTTCCATAGTTATGTTAGTTTACCAGAGGGTATTGCCTAAGATTCTGTTTCCACTTCTCAACTTCCTCAACTTCGCTAACTTGAGAAGGACTGCTGAAGTGCATTGCTTGAGACTAAAAAAGAAACCTCCATGAGATTCCATGGGAATCCCAACTTAAGAGAAACCTGACATGTGTGTATGATGTATGAGGTATGAGGTGTATATATATATACACATATGCGTACGTATATAATGTACACATACATATAATATGATTTATATATATATATATATTATAAACATTTATAAACCCTCCGTTTCATCAATTAGATCGGTGGCAGACCTTCCCAAGTTTTGTTGTATCCAGCTGATTTCGCTGGAGTAAATAGCCGCACTGGATACACCGACCATGTTTTCCATGGGACATTGGCGTCCTCCACCACCTGAAGCAACAACAGCCTAATGGGCGCCACATGCTGCGATCCAGCTTGAACATACTGTCGCAAGCGTGGTGAACCGGGTTGAACCCGTTGTGTTTCAATCTCAAAGCCATCACAAGAGCCATGGCGAATCTTAGAGCAAACAGTTCTTGGAACGACACCCTTCCACCCACTTTTGATTCATAACTATAAACTGCAGGAAAAACAAAAACTAAAGCTGTTGCCAACAGGTATGCCAGGTATGGAATTGGACCCCAGCTGGTGACAACACATCCATAGCAGAAAGATCCGGTAGGATTTGATAGGGGCATGCTGGGGGCATGCAGTGAACCCAAAATTCGCCCAGCAGCGGGTGTGATATAAAGGATGCAAGCAAACAGAAACCCAGTGTTTGTTCCTGCATAAAGCCGGCAACTTTTCATGGGATATGTGGAAAGTAAATCCATCTGCTTGTAGGGATTTCTTCCACTTGTTATATTAGAGTCCCTCTTAATGGTTTCATGACCATCAAACAACCCATGTTTCGACCATATTACATATCCCACCTGCTCCATGTATGGTATAATTGCCATTAATTACCTAATTACATTCAGGTGATGTGTGGGGTAAATGTGGATCAATATTCCGTACATGGAGCCTGTATGTTTCCCAAGATGGGGGGTACCCGGAGTACCCCTTAATCAATCTAAATCATCCATTCTATTTTCGGATTTTCAACGAAATAAACCATCCACTTTGGGGGGTCCACCATTTTAGCACACCCCCAACAAATGGGTATGGCCACACAGGCGGCCTGTGACGCTTCAGCATCTTCGCCTGGCTATGTTGGTGTTCGGGGACTTCATTGGGATGTGGACTTACAGTAATGGGATTATAAACCACTCGATACTATACCATGATATCCCATATCTATGTTGATTGGTGCATCCTCCATTTTCTTACCGGTGCTTAGTCAGCAGGGAATGGGGAAGTGATCCAATCCATACCTATGAAAACCCGCATCCCATTTCCCCATTCCCTACGTTTGGCACCAGTATCCATTCTCAGTCTCAATCCTCAGTTGTCGTCAGCAATTCCTGCAAGCCGCATAAGTGCCCATAAGAATCAGCAAGGGGGCCAATGAATTCAAAGGCTGTCATTGAAAACTCATGCAAAGCTTCCACATATTAAATGATGATGATAATGATGATGATGATAATGATGGTGACGATGACGATGACGATGATGATGATGATGATGACGATGACAATTATCATTATTGTGATGATGACGATTATTATTGTTGTTCATTATTGTTATGATTATCACATAAATATAATGACATATAATACACTGGATTATACTCTATATTGTGATAATTTATCAAACACATCCCATATATATATATATATGTATGTAAATATATATATATATATATTTGCCGCCTTGTATATAATATTATGCATACATCCCCAAAATTGGGATGTAATGTATCCTTATCCTTGATCCCTACATATTATAATTATTATTATATTCTAATATTGGATTGTTATTGTCACTATATATCATTATATTATTGTTATATTATTAAATTATTGTTTAATTCATTATTGTTATCATTATTAGTATTCTGAATATTATTAATTATTAGTTATTATTATTGTTATCATTATCATTATTATGATCATCATTATTATGATTACCATAATTATGATCATTGTTATTATCATCATTGCTATCATCATTATTATCATCATGTTTATTATCATTGTTATTATCATTGTTATTATCATTGTTACATTATTATTATTATCGTCACTATCATTATTATTATCATTATCATTATTATTGTTATTATCATTATTCTCATGATTATTATTATTTATATTACATTCATTATTATTATTATCATTTATTATTATCATTTTCATTATTAGTATTATCATCATTATTATCATCATTGTTATTACCATTATTATTATCCACATCATTATTATTATTCATTATCATTATCACTATGAGCATCATTATTATTATTTATTATCATTATCATTATTATTTTCGTTATTATTGTTATTTAATTGTTATATTATTAAATTATTGTTAAATTAATTATTGCTATATTAAAATACACACATCACTGTTATTATGACTACTATTATTACTATTATTACTAGTATCATTTATATATATATATATTATCATCGTATACCCTCTGGTAAACTAACATAACTATGGAAAATCAGCATTTGTTATGGGAAAAATCGCTATAAATGGTGATTTTCAATAGCTATGGTGATTTTCAATTACTATTATTACTATTATTATTATTATCATTATATATGTATATATATGATCACCGTATAATTCTTATACATCCCTGTGATATATCTCTCTCCCGCCTCGTCCTTCACGGCCTCCGCTTGCGCCAGCAGCTCGTCCAGGCGTCCTTTGTCCAAGGCCGCGGCACTGCTGGGCCGCCGCAAGGGCCGGGTGGAGACGGTGGAGAGCACAGGCCTGGCCGAGGCGCCGAGTCGGGGCGAGAAACACCGGGGATTTGCGGCAAAGAATGGAGTTTTCATAGCTGTTTTCATGGTAAACATACAAAAAGCTATTGAACATGGCCATTTATAGTGGATTTACCCATGAAAAATGGTGATTTTCTATAGCTATGTTAGTTTACCAGAGGGTAATACGCCTTTTACACCTTTTTGAATGGTTTCGAGTGGTGATTTGCTCAACAAGAACTAAGGGATGATCTGGATGCCCAGCTGTTGGGAAATTACTGGTGTTTTTTAAGCCTCCCATGGTTTTACTTTAGGGATTCATAGTCATAGAGGCCATAGGTGTTCTATTGGAGCTTTGATTTTTTACTAATGACACAGTGGTTTTAGTGGTGTTACTTTGGATTTATAATCAACTAGTTGGAAGAATTACAACACTACAAAACTACAACAGGGGTTGGTAAATGTCCTAATTGAACATCACCCAATTGGGGATATAATCACCAACAAATACTTGAAAGTGATGTTCAAAATCCCAAAGCAGGACATTTAACAACACCTGTACAAACATCTACAAACTATGAATAAACTGCAGCGAAGTTTCGGTGGCCATCACACTTGACATTGCCCCAAACACAGCCATCCGCTGGATGAAAGTTAGAGTGATAGTGATGACTTGCATCATTGAACACACAATAATTACTGGTTGGTGGTTGACCTACCCATCTGAAAAATATGAGTTCGTCAGTTGGGATGATGAATTTCCCAATATATGGAAAAATAAAAAATGTTCCAAAACACCAACCAGTATATAGTGCGGAATTAACCAGCAATGATTGGGATTGATGAGGATTTCAATTGACCCTCGGATTTTTTTTTGCAGTACATGGAACCATGATGAAACCAACATGGCCCATGGATTCCACTGGCTCATCATGGATTGACAAGCAGAATGAGAAACCAACATCGGAACATCAATGCAACTACATAGCTGAATGAGCCTGGCAAAAAGATCGGGCACATATAAAACAATATTTAAAGTTTAACATGAATCAAATTTTCTTCAACTCAGACAAACATGGGAATATCCACCATCATTGGACTGGTTTAGTTGGGAACAATTTTCACCGGAAACACCCATGATCATCATGGTAAAACCCATGGTTTCCCCCATGATCTTCATGGTAAAAACCCATGGGTTTCCGGTTAAGTTTGTTTCCCTTACCCTCCGGTAATTTAACAGTTTGCTATTGCAAATGGCCCATAGAAAAAGTTGATTTACCGAACTTAAAGATTGTGATTTTCCAGTTATCTTAGTTTACCAGGGGGTAAAGTCCCATTGTATCCCCATAAACTCCCCATTTGTTGATGGCTAAAAGCCAGAGGGTACCTATCATAAACTATCATAAATCAGCTATTTTCATCCCATTGAAAGCCCATTTTTGTTGGTTAAATCACCATGTTCCCATGGTTTTCCCATGGTTTTCCTATGGGTAAACCACTCCAATGAAACCAACCAGCGACCTCGGAAGGATGGGAGAACCGAGCTGTGGCTCCCACCTGGACGCGTTTCATCGCGTTTTGTGGGAGAAAAAATGTCACTTGACCATGGCACATATGAAAGGGATATATAATATAATACATGTGTATGTACATAATATATATATGCATATATACCTTTATAATTATATATTATATAAATATTTCTGAGACCCCATCTTGAGCTATGCTGATATTCTTAGGAAGCTGCCAGCACTAACTGAGCAGCCGCGGCTGAACATTTTGTGTGCCATTCACAAAGACAAAGTCCCACCGAAACAAGAGGGAAGATGAGGTACTCTCTGGTTATTGAACAGTTCGCCATGGAACGATCCACCATTTTCAATAGGTGAACCATCTATTTTTATGGGCCATTTTCCATGGCTATGTTAAATAACCAGAGGGTAGATGAAACACTATTGTGGATGGTTGAGAAATCCTGCACCACCTTGGATGGTTGAAACCCAAACAAAATAATGGGATAAACCAGCGTTTTCAACTGGTGCAGGATTTCGCAACCATCCACCGTAGGAGCAGAATTGCCACTCTGCCCGAATACAGGACAGCTGGGCAATGGCCATCCCAACTTACTTCAATTTCCAAGTGTTCGTTCAATGTTCAATGGGCATACCAGCAGCAACCATAAATGTCAAGCAAATGGCATGGCACAACGTTCAACGCGACTCAATGAAATTTTGGGTGGGAAATAGTGATTAAACCTAAAAAAAAATGTGGTTTTATGGGATTCTAATGGGATTTTAATGTTGATTAAGTTGATTAGTTTCTTGCTCTTCGGTTTAATCAAACATGGCTCAGTGGGATCTCCTATAGAGGGAGGTTTCTAGCTTGGAAAAATAATCACACTAAATTTGGAATCTTCGTGCTGGGGAACAATTTGTCGATTTATGCACAACATCCTCATGGAACTAATTTCTTGGTGGCACTTCATCTATCTCCATCAACGGCATGTTAAAAATGGCAGCATCTTAGGAACTGCAACAAATTGTAACATCTATTTTCTGTCAAAATCAAACAAGAATTGAACAACCATCTTCTTCTTAACAAAGGTTTGTAGTTGGTTTTGAGGGTGCAGCCTTCCCCTGCAAATAGATAAGTTTGGAAGATACATGTCCTGGAACTCAGAACGTATGTCAAGTATGTTCATCACATTTGAATTCCATTGCTGCAACGGGGGCCCGCCTATAAAGCCTTATAAGTTGGCTTGTAAATCCAATCAACTAATATCTATATAGTGACTATATGATCAGGATTTAGGATTTAAGCTCAGGGGGTCTGTATAGTTTCTATAGTTAAACTGACTTTTTTTCGACCATCAAACCCAGTTAGACAATGTTAAACCCACTTAGACCACACTATGGGGGTCCTATCCTCGGAGGCACGTGCCTGTGTCTTGAAGCAGGACCTAGAGATGGCAGTGATCGGATCTGGATGTGAATTTCAGCTGCTGACTGGTTACTTCTTGTACTATCATATATAGTTATATACTGGTTGGTGGTTTTAAACATACTGAAAAATATGAGTTCGTCAACGGGAAGGATGACATCCCATATATTATGGAAAAAATGCTTGAAACCAGCAACATACAATTGTTCTATATGAACAACAGGGCGGGTACATTCCATTAATATATATATATATATGATACATACCGTGGGTGGTTGCGAAATCCTGCACCACCAAAAGGATGGTTAAAACCCAAACAAAATAATGGGATGTTTACCACCTATCAACTGGCTGGGCACCTCAAGGGGCGAAAATCTGGATTTTTCATAGGAAATTGGTGGAAAATTGAACTTTGGGATACTTTTGGAGGGTTACCATCTGGGATAACTTTTCGTAATTGTTCATACAAATTTGAGGAAGTTTGAACTTTTGGAGGGTTCAGTCAGCTATCTTGAAGTGGTCATCTGCTGGGTTTTTCTCGGACATGTTGCTTAGCCTGGCTCTGTCCGATTAACACTCCTTCCTTTTTGAATGAGTACTAATGCTGAGATGGGAACCACCATTGCTGATGCCCCGAGATGTCTTTTCCCCGAAGCTTCAATAGTCTACAGAAACCCAGCTTTATAATATATATATATATATATATTTACATAAATTATATATATATAATATGCTGTATCATCATATTGGATCTATTCAGCTTGGAGTCCCCAAAAAAGGGGGAAGTGTAAGAGGATTTTGTGGTTTCCCAATGGCTGGGGGTACCCCCTAGTTATCATTCATTAAAAAAAAGGGCTTTCCATGAAATAAACCATCCAGCTATGGGGGTACCCCCATAGAAACGGAAATCCCCAAATATCCGGATCTAAAGCAACTTACACGTCCGGGTCTTGTTGGCTAAATCCCATTGAAACATTGCTATACCCAGCTCACCCATAAACATTGGGGGTCGATCCACATGCCTTTTTTTGGGGGGGTCGAAGCCATTGCTTGGTTGCCCACTGTCTTCTGGTGCTCGAGCCAACCACTTTGCGTACGAAATGTCTAGCGTACGATAAACGGGGTTGTTTGATGCGTGAGTCAGTCAAGCACAACGGTTGATTTTTGTTTTTGTTGAATTCCAGGAAATTCCTGACAAGGTCATACATTCAATCAAAATTTCTTGGTGAAATTGCAATTTCTTGGTGAAATTGCATGCGACCAAACAGGGTTGCTCCCAACACCCCAAATGGTACAAATACAGGGTGGAACATGGCTAGATCAAGAGACACAATTGTATAATTACCTTGTTTAATTATTCCTATTGATCATTTACCGTACCGGTAATTTAACGTAGCTATTGAAAATGACCATTAATAGTGGATTTTCCCATTAAAAATTGTGATTTTCAATGGCTATGTTAAATTACCAGAGGGTACCTATAATGGGTTGAACCACCCCTCCTAAACCTCCGAGTTTTCACCAGTCTGACCTCCACTGGGCTTTCCTCACTAGGCGCCGGTTGTGACCGTGCGCTACGCTGACTTCCACACAAGGTGTCGGGTTGAGAAGCACGCGAAGCAGTGAGCATCCTCACGGATTTGGGATGGTGAAACATGGTCAAACAGGTGGCACAAGGCCGAGCATTGGACACAAATGTTTGGGCAAGTTGGAGGCAACTCCCCCATCAGTTGACTTGGGAAACCAATTTCAGACATCGCAAACATGGCAAACAAATAGATCTGTACACATCAGCTTCAATGCCAGCTTCGTTTTTTGAAGCCAATACCTTTTTGAGGACCTGCAATAATCCCAATTTCTTGGCTATCTTCACCGCAACCATCAGCTGCCGCCTGGGCTAAGACCACAAACAAGGTATACGCAAAGCCCTATTGACTGCCACAAAGTATTATAATGTGGGTAAAACAAGGTCATAAACCACCCATGACTGGGAAGGGTAAGCAGTAGACATACCACCTATAAAAATTGTGATTTGGGGGATGGTTTATTTTTGTTTTACCCACATTACACAATTAACACAAATCAAAACACACGAACATATGGAGGTGTCCTAAAATAGGGGTACCCATAAATCACCCATTTTAGTAGGATGTTCCCGGATGTTCCCTTATAAACCATCTATTTTGGGGTCTCCCCATTTTAGGAAACCCTCCCCGTCCATCTTTGCTCGTTGACTGCCCCCCTTTTGGCGCTTCACTCAGCAACATCCCCATGAATTTCTCCGAGCATCTCATCCCAGTTCACATCTTCTGCACCCCTCGACAGCGAGAAAATTCCGCCCCAAGTCGCTTCCAACTATGTTTATTTTTCCTAAAATGGGTGTACCCCAAAACCATGGGTTTCAATACCGGGTAAAAAAAAACTTGGATGGTTGGGGGCAGCCCGGGCACTGAGGAAACTCCCAGATGTTCTGGGGATGATCATCCCGTGAAATCACTCTGTGATGGAAAGGAAGAAATTTTTCCCAGCCACAAACCAGAAAAAATACCACGTTAGATCTGATCTTTAGCATCTGGGAATCAAGAATCTTTATTTTTGCAAAGTGAGATTCAGATCAACATCATGTTTTGGTGCAATGTGAGGCCCCCAAGATAGCGTTCAGTTGGTTTATAACTCCAATGTCACTATGGTTTATGGTATTTATAACGAACTAGTTACTGAGGCGAATCTAAACCAACAAACATATCTTGGGGGCCTCACATTGTGGATACCAAATAACATTCCAAACGCTGGCTGATAAACATGTTGCTTTGCAAAGATCCTTCTGGTTCCTTCATCAAAAAAAAGCGATCCACGTGCTTCGGAGAGGGTTTCTGTATAAGGTCCCATCTGTCCCATCGCCTTGCTCATTTTAAAACCGCGATGTGTGCCACCAGTTAAAAGCCACAAAATAAAAAGATGCTCAAAATTCAAAATCCCTTCAGAATGATCATTTGAATGCTTAAACGTGGACATACAAGTTGACATACACGTCAATACAACAGCCTCATCCATTGATGATTGGTTTGCTCAACATACTGGCTGGATCAAAGATCTAAAGTGTTTGATGACTTGGTGGTATTTCCAAAAACCACCCAGAAAATGGTAAAACCCCAGAGGTCAAGAGTTTGAATCATAATGATAATCAAGACAATTCTCCAGCCCTTGTATAACAATCGCTGATACCAAGGGTTTGTCTGAAAAAAGGATTCTTGTAGCTCCAAACCCATTGATTCACCATCAATATTATATCATCAATTTCCAAGTTAAAATAAACATTTCAGGGTACCCTCTGGCAATGAAACATGGCGTGCTGGAACATCCCCTGTTTATAGACGATTGTCCCAGCTATATCCCTCCATTTAGTGCAGGGACTTCCCAGCTTGCAACGTTTAACTAAACCAAAGGGTATAAGAACAAATGAACTCATTAAAATCCCATTGGAATCCCATTTTTCAAAAATAATTTTCAGGTTTAACCACTATTTCCCATCCACAATTCCAGACTCGTTGTGCTTCCCTCAAGCTTTGAAAACCTGCAGGATGAGCTCCCTGAGGTAGTGGTGGAGCGACTGTTCACCGGCATCACACCTGGCTTCAACCGATTTTTCTGAGGGGAATACCATGTGGATTTCGAGGGATTTTTGGTAGATATGAACACCCCAAATGGGCTATAGATTACATGTACTATATAATTGTATATAACCAACAAGAAAGGAATAATCATGGTTCGTATACTGTGCACTATTATATATACTATTCATTTATTCATCATTATAATCATCCAGAATATATTAGTATCCCCAGTGTCCCTAGTGTCATATGTATATATATATATATATATACTATATATATATGGAACTAATATACGGATTCATATGTATACTATTACAATGTGAGGCCCCCAAGATAGCTAAGCTGGTTTATAACTCCAATAACTATGGTTTATGGTACTTATAGCTATAGTTACTGGGGCGAATCTAAACCAACTTATAACTGGGGGGCCTCACATTGTATAATATGTTAGAATCATCCAGAATCACCAGTGGCCATGGTGGCCCATGGTGGCCAGGGTGGTGCCTTGCGCCACCTGTGGCGCTGGCCTGGCACGTGGCAAACTTCAAAACCCTGGATTGAAGCAAGACATACGTGAAATGTAATATAGATGTAATACTATATGTCATATCTATGATATAGATATGGGTGAAAACACGTGAAGACCATGGGAGTCCAGTCTAAGCACTAGAATCACTAGAATTTCATACTTTCAGTGTGATTTATTTGACACATTCTTCGAATTGCAGGGCCTGCGGAAACGGATCAACACAGGCATCTCTTAGACTGTTGGGATTTTACCACCAAAGATTCGGATTAGGATTTCACTAAATTTGGTATGGAGTTGAACCACCAGATTTGCTATGACAAGATATGGAATAATATGGAGTAATAAGGATTAACATGGAGTTTTACCAAACATGAATTATGGAGTAATTAATAAGGATAATTCATGTTTGGTGACCTATTACTTGGCTATGACAAGAGGTCATAGTAAAAAAACATGGGATGATCGGGGGACTTTTTCATGGCAAGGATTTATCCTGGTGGTGACTTAGTTCAGCTGCGCTACCACGTCACCCAACTTTGTTGCTTTACCCATCACTGGTGATATCATTTGACGACAACATATAGCAACATAGATCAACAACATACTGGATATAGTCACTAAAGTACCAGTACTATAGTACCAGTATAACCTCATGACCTATACCACATATCTCATCAATCAACAGGGGTGTCATCAGCAGTTCGCCCGCTTGGATTCCCGACAGGGCAAAATGCTGGAAGGACAGGGCCCGTTCATCCTGACGCCAATCCCCTGTGCTGTTCCCCACCAAACCTCTGACTCTGATATAACCCCATGGGCAAAACTATGGATACCAACCTGTTGAAATTCTTGGAGCAATCACCATTCTTCCGAAATTTAAATCCGAAATGTTTGATGGTTAAGATTTGTCAAATCATATCATATCAATATCTCCGTTTTTGATGGGCAAAATCAAAGCTTCTTCAAATCCAGTTGTGTAAACTTCCAGTGTTCATCCAATCGGATTTCGCAGAACTATTGGTTAAAAAAATCAGTTGTGTCCCAATTCTTCCTTGATTGTCCTTCTTGTATCCCTATTACGCTTAATATCCCGTTTTTCTATTCCCATCTTATTGTTGCCTAAATCCCCCATATGTTGTTTTTTCCTGAAAATAGGGCTAAACCATTTGCGATGTGGGGAGATTTGGGGTGCAACAGGGTGCTGTTACATTGTCCCATTTGCAGACACACCCAATATGACAAAACGTTGGACAATCGCCCTATGTTTCGTGGTTGAACCAAACAATAGGTCATTATCCAACAAAGATAGTATCCCCATTAACTAACAATATCTGGTTGGTGGTTTCAACCCCTCTGAAAAATATTAGTCAGTTGGGATATTCCCAATATATGGAAAAATAAAACATGTTCCAAACCACTAACCAGCTAACAATACTGTTGTTCACACCGCACTCTCCAGGTCAAGCTCTGACTCGCTTCCTCTCGCGACAAACGTCTGGGCAACGACCCCTTGACCTGAGTCAAACTGGTCAAAGAGTCCGTGACAAAACGGGGTGAATTCGTGTTGGATAAGATTGAAAAGCCTCCTATTCCTACAATGTGAGGCCCCCAAGATAGCTAGGTTGGTTTATAACTCCAAAAACTATGGTTTATGGTATTTATAACTATAGTTACTGGGGCTTAAAAAACAAATTATATCTTGGGGGCCTCACATTGTAGGGATACCTAATAATTACCTATATGCAAGAATGCAAAACCGTGGTGCCCTGAGAGAAAAAACTGACAAACACATACACAAACAGTGCATGCCTGATCCAGGCTGGGTAATCGAATTTCGGGTAAATATATAGGTGACTATACCATACTTTTGCGATCTTGAAAGCGATGTTAGATCTGATACTGGTAACCTTGGCTGAGTCAGCATAACATCACCTGAACTAGTGGATAAATAGCATGTATCATGCTTAGACAGTTGACCTCCTTAAAAATCCTACAATGATTGCGCCTGCAAAACATAGCCAAGTTGGATCGAGTACGTCTCCCATAGTGCCCAACAATTTATTGGTTAAATTTCCATATTCTGTTGATTGAACAAACCTGCAAGGTGGTTCCCCCCAAGTTATAAGTTGGTTTATAATCCCATTAACTGTAGATATATCACCTATAAACCATAGTTATTGGAGTTATAAATCAACTTAGCTGTCTAGGGGGCACCACCTTGTGTTAAACCTTGGGAAATTACCATCATATTCTCCATCAATGATATCTCCATTTCCCTATAAAAAATCGCTATGCTATCCGCTCCATTTTGTGACCTGCCTATCTATTTCCAGTAGTTCCCATGAACCTGAAAGATACCTGCCAAGAAATTCCATCATTTGGCCGGTTAGGACTAATTGTAGAATTTCGACCATTGATAGCAAAAGATTATGAAGTAGTTAGCATCTACCCTCTGGTTATTTAACATAGCTATGGAAAATGGCCCATTTACAAGATGATTTTCCCAGCTAGAAATATCCATTTACAATGGATTTTCCATACATATGATAACCAAATGGTAACCAATCTAGCCATCATTGGAGATGATCATCATCCATTAGTATAGTGCTCTACCACGGATTTCTTTAGAAAGTATACCATAAATAAAAACCTATGTCTAAAGAGATCCAAGTTGACGTGTTCGAGCGCATCCCTTCACCCATTTTCACATAGTTTCACATAGTTTCACATAGTTTCACATAGTTTCACATAGTTTCACATAGTTACACAAGAGGAAAAACAACTAGGTCACCAATTGTCAACAACTAGTACATAGTTTCACATACATGTTGACATAGTTTCACATACATTTTCGCCTATGTTTTCCACATATTCACTGGGAATCCTGTTCGCCACGAGTGTCTTTTGGTCCGGGCCTCGCCGCCAACCGCCACGCTGGGTTGACCCAAATCGGCCCTGCGTCCGTAGCAGATGATATGACGATATCCAAATGTTTTACTCAAATGGATGATAGCAAATGTTAGATTATCTTAGTTGGTGATATCTAAGGTGCATTTTAATGATACTTAATATTCATTAACTAAAAATTGATGATATCCAGATGATTTTTTGCTCGAATGGATGTTACGTATTCGTTAACGTACCATGCAGCCATGCCAAGGATTTAATGCGAAGATTGTTGTGTTCACAATCCTGACGTCTGAGCCGTACCCTAGATGATCTAGTTCCATCCAAATTGGTTATGATTTCATGGGATGTTTATCAAGTATATATAAATGTATATATGCACAACTAACAACAAAAATAAATCGTATTTCAATCTGATGGAGCAAAATCCAAAGATTGATCCTTAGATCAATAAATTATAATTTATGATAATACAATGTAATATATTAAAATATAATAACATAAATAAAATATAATATAATTTAATATTTAATATAGTTTAATATTTAATATAATTTAATATTTAATATTTAATACAATATACAATGTATAATAAACAACAAATAATACATAATATTGAATACATCATATAAAGATATGATATATATATAATACTCGATATAATATATAATATAATATACCATAAAATAATATAATATAGTAAAATATAACATAATTTAACCTAACCTAATCTAACCTAATACAATATAATATAATATAATATAATATAATATAATTTACATCTACATCTACATATAATCATATACATCTTATATATAGTTATTATACATATATATATATATATAATATGAAACATGGATTATATGTAAGCAACCAAAGGCCATAGATGGGAATAAAAAAAGACTTGTTATCTACCAACAACATTAATGATGGGTGTTTCTGAACACCATTGGCTTTCCCTTGGACTGGCCATCAAGGGGTAACTTCATCCCATCAAGTCATGGGATCCCATCCCCAAGTTTCTGGGTAAATAAGTCCAATGTCACTATGGTTTTTGTTGGTGATATATCTATAGTTAATGGGATTATAACCATTTATGGGATTATAACCGAATCTGGGTAAATTATAATACTTCACTAACCTGAATTAAGGCCATGTGGGGATCATTTCCCTTACTAACCATTATTCCAGTGAGGTCGCAGTGAGGTCAAAATAGTTTACCCAGAAGTTTCAGTTTCCATTGCCCATTAAAAAAACCCTAGTTTTGTACCGACCTGTTTTCTGCCAGCATGGCGCCATTTCAGAGTCGCGACGTCGTGGCTGCAGGATAATCTGAACAACGATCCGGGATTTCTACGGATGTTTTTTGGTGACTGAGCAAGTCCAGCCGGACAGGGGTAATGGGGGATGTATCATGATGTATCATCTGATGGTCATGTAGTTTGGGAAAATATGGGACGGTTATGATACACGGCTTTTTAGGGCTGCCCAATTTTGGAATATTTTGGAGACGTACGCGACCATATGAAAAGTGTGATGGTCACCCAAGTATTTTCAGCAAAGATGTGCTGTTGCAACCAAGGCATGAGCTGGGCATTGCGGCATAGTTGGCCAGTCAGCTTTCAGCGGTAACGTACAACTACGCTGAGCCAAGCGGAAGCATGTAGGATGCTGGGACCAAAACCCTATTGTGCAAAGAAGGCAACTGGGGGAACTGTATGTGGCGCAGCAGCCGAGTACAGATTGCCTGTTTGGTTTTGGGATATTCATTGGTGACAAAAAAACAATTTCTATAGTTTCAAGTCTCAAAAGTGCGTGAGAGCCTAGTCTTTTTCCCGGTCTCAACTATCGACGTGGACTCGAATTGGGACTGTAAGATAGGATAATTGGCTAGTAATGTTCAACAGAATCGATAGTTGCAGTAGCAGTAAAAGTTCAAACATAGCAAAATCCTTTGTATCACCACAGAATTGTTATATTTGCTATCATAATTGGGCTTGCCCAAATGCAGCATGTGGCACTGTTCCAAGGGAAGAACAATTTCAATTAACAAGCGAGATCTCGAAATCTCATGCTTAGAAAACTGACTGTAGACATATGAAACTGGGGTTTGGGCCAAAATTGGGTAACACATGGTAAAACAAAAAGGACCCCTAAAGGTCTATATAATGTGTGAATGTGTGCTATTGAATAAACTTCACCAATGGATAGTCCAACACATTCCATCATGGCCAACATTCGCGAGTTGCTCTAATCTTCATTTTGGATTTTGGACCTTTACTTGGTCACTCCGGAAGTATGGACGCCGGCAATGTCCCTTCACCGCTAGCCATAACTGACCAGGAATCTGCCTAATCTACCTCCCCCCCCAATTATAATATATATATATATATACACATGGTGGGTTTCCTATGGGGGTACCCCCATAGCTGGATGGTTTACAATGGAAAACCCATTATATCATGGATGATTAAGAGGTACCCCCCATTTCAGGAAAGCTCCAAATATGATATCCTTCTCACTCCCTTAACTTCGACGGTTACGCTTTCCCGATTTACCCCTGAGTCGATGCTGTTCCCATAATGTAAGAAGCCAAATTGGCTGATGTTTTTTTTAAGCAGAAAAGTGAACGTTTCTGGTACAATTGGACACTAGAGACTGGAAACTTATTGTATACATACTACCCTCTGATAAATTAACATAGACCCTGCCAGAAAGGGGTTGGAAGATTAGTTTCCCTTAAACATTGGTTATTTTCAGGGTCTATGTTTATTTACCAAAGGGTAATGGATCTTTTTGCAGAAATCTCGATAATTGGATGGATGATCAAACGTCATCGTTCCTTGTACATCCTCCAAAAGGGATTGTCCTCCAAGAATGGCCACTAGTTTTGTAGGATCAACGGTAGTTGACAGTCGACAGGTCCCAGTTAGTATAAACCTGCTCAATAACTATCATCATATTGTCATATATGATCATGTGGTCGGGAAACTCTAAGTATGAAACTGTTACCATCTGGTTATGACTAACATTGCCAAAATATACATGGCCTATAGAAATAGATGGTTTACCGTTCTTAAAAATGGTGGATTGGTGGATCTTTCCATGGCAAACTGTGAATGTCATTCCGGAGATTCGCCCAAATCACCTGATGACTGGGTTGCTCGAATCACCTTGGGTGCTCCCCCCCAAGTTATGCTGGTTGGTTGGTTTATAATCCCATGAAAATTGTAGATATATCATGATATATCACCAACAAAAACCATAGTTATTGGAGTTATAAATCAACTTAGCTATCGAACGGGGGCACCACGGGTCGCCTTTTTCAACCAAAGGCTGCGAACTGGACACATTTTGACGTTGTGCTCCTCCAAGGGGGTTGAGTCTGGCGGACTGTGGGATTTATCATATCAGTATCATATCAGAACATTCATGGTAATATGGTGCATGAATGAATGTAACTAACTCACTAACCTGAATTCAATCCATTTAGGGATACTTACCCTTACAGGTACTAACGTGGTTAATTAACCATAGTTCCAGAGACCTCGCAAGGTCCTGTTTTTTGATCCAGATTCAGGTCTCTTGTCAGAGAATCGCATGAGTGTAGGTCCTCAATGTTGAGCCACAAGAAGTGACCATAAATCGAGTGCAAAGGTCCTTTCTAGATAATGTACATGTTTCTGCCCAATCGAATACAAATTCCAGTGTTTGCTGATCAAACCCGTTAACCGTTTCAAATCCTTACATTTGTGTGGCAACAACCATGTTTGCATATCATTATTCCTCTGTGTTTGCTTGGACATTGGTTCTTTCACCGTATGTATATAACTGTGTGTATATATATATCCCCTGCTAAGTTGTTGCTTTCACTTCTGATCGTGATGTATCACAAATTGCCTTAATATCCCCATTGAAACAAAAAAGGATTACGCTAATTCCCAATTGCCAGGTATTATTCCTTGGAATCACCAATGGTATCTTGACAATCAACAATGCTATTACTTGGTTCTTACTAGAGTAATAACTTATGTAATAACCAATATATAGTCCTTACAATTACAATTATGTGGGTAAAACAATGCCATAAACCACTCATGACTGGGAATGGTAAGTTTATACCACCTATAAAAATGCTGATGACTGGGGGATGGTTTATGATGGTGCACATGACATTGTTTTACCCACATTGTCACATTATTATTTGGTATATTCTGGTATATAGTTGGTATATAGTTGGTAAAATCTATATGATCGAAGGAAGTTTAGAAGTCAAACATATATAGTTATTTTGTGGTTGTCATTATTATTTCATATTTAAGGGTGTAGTCAAGTATTTCCAAACTTCCAAAGCTGAAACACAAAAACAAAACATAACACATGCCAAGGTGCTTCGTGAGGCGAAGGAACCCAATGGTGCCAAAATCTTGTTCCCGTTGCCCTTGCGCAGGGAAGTGTCAGAGCAAGGCTTAAGCAGCATCCACTCATGAGGCCTCTTCACACCATGGTGGGTGTATTTAAACGCCGCGCAGCTCTCAACGTCCGGCCATGTTTCATGACCTGCGGTCTTCATGAACTGGGACAGATGAAAAGCAGAGATGGCAAGAGTCAGAGAAGAGAAGAGAAGAGAAGAAAAAAGATCAAAAAGAGAAAGTCTCCGAAAAAAGAAGATCCAGGTGTGCGAAAAGG